CACAAATTCACCTCTAACATAAAATATGAACCCTAATCACCTAAATAGACAAGACAACAATACTTCACTATGGTGTTTTTTCGAGCGGAAGTATTTCTTTTCCAAAACCTCCACGGCAAAAAATTATCCATCAATTCCCGGCATGGCGAACTGTGAACTGAAGCTTTCTACTCGTGCACGGAGTTCGACAATTTCTTTGTTGTTCTCAAGCCCCTTTAAGAATGATTTCGGCACTTTGCCGTGTTCTCTCTGCACGGTACTTGCAATCTGAGCAGCTCTAAGAAGAAATTCAGCCATCGTCTCAAAATCAGCCTCGACACAGCCTCTCGTTGTCATTGCAGGCGTACCTTAAAAAAATAAAAAATTAAATGAAAACCATCACTATTGGCCAATGCATAAGTCACTCAATAAAGTAAATAATTCATCTATTTAACAGCAGAAGACAAAAATGTTACATACCAATCCTTACGCCTCCCGGAGTTATATTGCCATTGTCATCAAATATTGTGACTTTATTGAGAGTAATGTAACACAACTCGCAAACCTTCTCCAAATTTTTACCTATACATCACAAATTGTACATGTGGTTAATACATACTCAAAGGCAGAAGCTAATGCTAACCAATACATAAACCAAATGAATCGTGAATTTAACATACTTCAAGAAATGCATGGATTCAAGACCTTGTTAACATAAATGCATTGCAGAAAAATAAACAAAGAAACAAATCACTGATACAACTAAAAATAATATTCAAAAAAAAGATTGGTCACATATTTTTTCGGGTTTATTTTAGTCACACTTATAAGGTACGATATGAAACCAAAACATAGATATGTGCCAGGCTGCAGATAAGCATTTGGGCTGTCGTCCGACAAGGTATACATAATTTTTATTTTTTTTAACAGCAACAAAGTATACATAATATTGGTTAGGATAAATATTAGTAAAAATATTATTGGTTAGAATAAACGATACATCACACCTTTTCGAATGAAGTAAATGCCTACTGAGTTAAAATATCAATGTCCCTAATAGATGATAACTCGCTGTGATAGCTAACAAAATGTTTAATAACTCAGCAGAAAACTAGCATACAAAACCATTAGAACTTATCTTTCACAGTTCCAAGCATTACGAATTGATAAACTGGTAGTAGCCATAATGCATCGATATTCAAAAACCTAGATAACTTGAAAAAACCAATCAACTCGTAGTTAAACGGAGAAGTAACTTGCCTGTCAATCCAAGATTTCTTAGATCCCAAAGTAAGAGATGATTATCGGTGCCTCCAGTAACCAATCTGCAATTTCTTCTTAGTAAAGCCGATGCTAAAGCCTGAGCATTTCTCTTAACATGTTGCATATAAGTCTTGTACTCAGGACTAGCCACTTGCTTCAGTGCTATTGCCAATGCCGCAATGTGATTATTGTGTGGGCCACCCTGCAATGCTGGGAAAACAGCAAAATTTATTTTTTCCTCAAAATCGTATCGATCACTGGCATCTCCTTGAGTCAACAGCATGCCTCTCTTCTTCGGCTTTTGACCCTTCCTGAAAAAAATAATTCCTCCCCTAGGACCTCGAAGACTCTTGTGCGTTGTTGAGGTAACAATATCACAATAGTCAAAAGGGCTTGCACACTCCTGCATTAAAAAATAAAAAATAAAAACATAAAAAATTATATGTCGTCATATCAATAACTCAAATATCCAAGAAGAAAAACAACTTTGGCAAAGTACTTGAATGCAGGCACGATAACTATGTGGTAAGCAAACACATTGACAAACTCTCATTTCACCAAATTTTAATAAGCTCGAAGAATGGATATTTTTTTGCACGACACAGTAAATTAGTTCAAATGCAGAACTTGGAATGCGTTACCAATACGTGTGCAGCATGGTTTTAAGGTTAGAATCACGTACATTGTACACATTTTTATTTTCGAAGGAAATAAATTCTTTTGTACACGGGAATTAGCATATAAACATAAAAGTAGATTATCTTTCCAAAAGTTAATTATGAAACCATCACCACATCAACCAAAAAGCAGCAACCATGTGAACAAAGGTTAAGACAACCAAGCGTGACTGAACAAATGTATGGCATTAGCATAATAAACATACAGCTTAAAAAGGTCACAAAATACAGTACAAAAACCAAACCAGAACAAGATAAATTCAGGCAGAACACTATCAACACCACCACAAACAATTCACCAAGATTTTTCACCTTCGCAGCAATAAGTCCGCTAGTCTGAGCCATGTCACAAAGCAAAACCGCACCACACTTGTCCGCTATCTGTCTAAATCTTGCGTAATCCCACTCCCGAGGATACGAACTCCCACCACAAATCAATATCTTGGGGCGGAAATCGAGAGCCTTCTCCTCAAGCTTATCATAGTCCACATACCCCGTCTGAGGGTTCACCTTATACGGTAGACTCTCAAAGAATATAGATGCACCCGAAACTTTCCTCCCATTGGGCAAATAACAACCATGGCTCGTATTCCCTCCAGAGGGTGTGTCCAACCCCATTATCCTATCTCCTGGCAGCAAAATCCCAGTATATACAGCGAAATTGGCAGACGTACACGAGTAAGGCTGTACATTCACACCCCAGCTATCGGAATCGAGGCTGAAAGCAGCTAGTGCGCGCTCGCAACAGAGAGATTCAATCTGATCTATGTAATGATTTCCACCGTAGTATCGGGCACCGGGCATACCTTCAGAGTATTTATTAGTTAAATGGCTTCCTAATGCCTCCATCACAGCTTTGCAAACGAAATTCTCCGAGGCGATTAATTCGATTCCTTTGAACTGCCTCTGCTTCTCGTTCTCCATGATTTTGAAAATATCTGGATCGGCATTTTGAAGGGTTTGGTTCCCCCATAGCCTGACTGCGTTCCTCCGTGACTCAATCTCCTTCGAAGAAACCCTAACTCCCTTTGAGGAGGAACATGACGTCACGGTGGTGGAGGAGGAGGAGACTGAATCGGCGTCGCGCCTCCGCTTTAGAGTCATGGAGTGACCTAAAATTCGAAACTCCTCTTCCACGTATGCTTCCTCGTCCGCCTCCTCACGGTGGCGATTCTCCGTTTGCTGGTCCATCAATTGGAGTGGAGTCGACGGCGGAGGGTGGGAAGGTTCTCGAGACCTCGACTCGATCTGGAATGAAATCGAATCGTCGGCGATCCTCGCACCCCTGTTGTTATTCAACGGCGGCGGCGACGAAACGTGAGATAGAAACCCTAACGATAGACCGCCATTCCCCGGCGGTTGAGTCAAATCCATTTCTCACAACCAACAGAAGAAAGGGCAAACAGCTGATTTTAGCTCTCTCTTACCAACAGAAATAAAACCTAGAGAGAGAAAAAAAAAATCCGACGAAGCTGAGAGAATCAACGGAGTCGACGGCAAACACAGGAAGACAAACAACGGCGTACGGTTGAACGACAAGAGCAAGCGGCGGCGGCGGCGGCGGCGGTTATGGCACCGGCGACGGAAACATCCATGGAAAATACTAATATACTATGTGGCCGGATTTTTTTATTTTTTTTTATTGCTTGGGAATAATTGGGTTTGCTCGGAAATGTGAATATTTTATTATTATATGATGATATAATAAATTAATTAAAAAAATATAAATTGGGAATAATATGAGTTTTTATATGAGGAGAGGATGGGATGAAAGTGGACGGTGGGGGAGATTCCCGGTGTGATGAAATCGATGATTAATACGGTGGGAATTGGCTGTTTGTGGACCCACTTGTAATTAGAATCATTTATATATTCATAAATTACAACCACCTCCCTAAGATAAAATTGTACTACACAAAGCCCCTTTAGTGTTAACAAATTACATCAAGCCCCTGTAATTTGTAAATTTCTTACATCTACCCCTACAAAATGGTGTTAATATAATTATGTAATTGGAAGAGTTTTTTTTTTTTTTAATTAGACCTTACTTCAGGGGGCGCTTGTAATTTATCCGTTATATATTTCGTGTTTTCAATTGTCTTAAGCATATATACAGAATATTTTCCAACATACATATGCTCAATATTTATTTTTTATGTACAGAGGGTGTAAATACTAATACAGAGTCGCATTCATTACTTAACGAGTTTATTCGATTTTTTTTTTATTTAATAAATTGTATTTGAAGTTAGTTTGATTACTAATCGAAGTGGTTCGACTTCGAAATGAACTTTAATGGAACAACCTAAATCGAACTCGAAGAACTCAACTCTCTTAGCAATGAGGCTACATTCATTTATACAAAGTGACTCCAAACACCAACTTCTCACAAGACTCTCATTTGTAATTCTCTACAAAGTCAAAAAGTTTCTAAGGTCAAAGTCAACAGAATTCTAAAGTCAAAGTCAAAGTCAACAGATTCTTTTCAATCGTTCTGTGCCTCCAAGTCAACCATTTCCCTAACACGTCTTTGACGCCTTCCATGGAGATAAATGGCAGCCAAAGACACAATCAAATAGGCGACGAAGGCCGAGCGGTCGAACAAGAAATGGATGTTTCGTTCACCTGTAGTAGAACATAGACATCATAAGTTTGGATTAAAGAAAGAAACAAATGTACTTTAGCAGAATGTTTTAATTCTTAAACGATTAAAACGGAGTACTTTAATCGGATCGAAAGTACCTATTCGGAGGAAATCAAAGGGAATGATTGAGTAAACCGCTCCAAGGATCATCTGCAACATTCATTCAGAATCCACCGAACCAAAAGAAAAAATTAAAAGGAAAATCCATATCAGAATCTTGGAAAATCGTCTTATGAGTAATCGGTAAAGTACGTACGAAAAAATTGACTACAAAAACGCAATCCTGCTGTGGAAGAAGCATATGTGAAAACTAAGTCGTTGATGAACTTAACTGCAAGTATTCGTAGGTCATTGAGAAGAGCAAGCTGCCTTTCGCCATTCAATACCTCGCGGCACCTTCGCTTTATGTACAGTGGAATAGCCATGCGAAGTTTCTGTCGAAACAGAAGAAAAAGAGATGTCACATATTTTGGAGACGATTGAAATAGTAATGGATGTCAACAAAAAATCGAAGAAATCGAAAAATTACATAAGTCAGGGATGCTTCAAATTGTACATCATCTAAACACTATGCACATCAGTTATCCAAGACTTCGTTAATTATATCAACGAAAAGAAAATGTCGAACATCTTAAAACACAAAACGAGCATCGCGTATATTTAAACATTTCCAAGTTAAACAGTAGAGGGATATTTGAAGCCAGCTAATACGGTCCACCATCATACTACTCAATTTCAGTTTGTGCACCAAAAAAAAACGATAATTAAAAATACATCAACGTACCAGCATAAATCCAGAAAAGCCTCCGACATATAAGTTGTTATATTCATCAACACTCTGTAAGACCTTGCGAGTTTCGACTTCAAGCATGTCATACAGTGATGCCTCGGGAATCAATTTCGTTATTCGCTGGGAGCACATTGGACACTTGCACATCTGAGATGCATAACTAAAATTCCACAGCTGCAAAATGCACTTTCCTGGAACACAAAAAACTACAATTTAGAAAATTATTATTAAAAAAAAAAACATGAATATAATGATGGGAATATTTTAAGGCATAAAACTAAAAGCCTCCAAGAATGACAAAACCGAAATTCCCTTTGCTTTTCACAAAATTCCAGAAATGGCCAAAGAAGATCTTTTTTTTCCAATAAAGACCACTGAAGTTAAAGAAATGAATGCAATACAAAGACATATATATATATATATATATATATATATATATATATATAAATATTTTATTTTATTATAAATTTCTCTTGATTTTACGAGCCTCTTCTGGTCTATTAAAACCATACGGATTCTTTCCACAACTTAAGCTCAGAGAAGATAGATATAGGAGAGCTTTTCTTGCTGACCAACTCCCCAGTTCATTAGGCAACACGATACGACACTAGCAATTGCTCTCTCACTCTCTCTAACACACACACACACAGACAAACATCTTACTATACTCAAACTCACTAAAAGTTTCTAAATGAAATTCTTCCAGCTACATCAGTCAAACACAAGTCCATTACATGATGCCCTGCCCTACTATACATGAATCACATAATTAAAAGTTAAAAAATTAAAAATTAAAAATTAAAAGTTAAAAATTAAAAATTAAAAAGTAAAAAGAGAAAAGGCAAAAAAAATCATCAGTAGGAACTAGGCAGACAAGACACGAGAAAAATATATCATGCGTTTTCCACCATAATATAAAGCCGCACGCCCGCAGATGAGTCTACATAGCCTGCCGAATAAGTCTAAAAGAAAATTTACTGCTCAGCGACAATGCTCAATAAACCATAAACTAATTTCGCATTAAAAACTCGATTGTCAAGTATACCAAGTTCAAGAAAGACTAATTGCACCAATAACTGCATAGAGATGTTGCATAAACGGTCTTCTAACATTTGACATTCTGTTCAAATCCAGAAGCAGAGAATAATACTAAGGATGCTCAAATTTAGTCCATTTGCTTTTACCAAAATTCAAGGAATGATCAATGAAGATCTTCTTCCAATAAACGCATCTTTATACTTCAAAACCAATCAAGCTTCCATATTTTATTTATTTCTAACCGGATCTTGCGAGCCTCTCGTGGATCGTGTATTAAACATACAGATTCTTTTCATGACTTTGAAAGAATAAATAAGAGGGCTTTTCTTGCTAACCTATCCCCGAGTTCACGAGGCAACACAATACGGCGCTTGCAATTGCTCTCGATCTCTCACACAAACATCTAGCTATACTCAGCCTCATTCGTCGATACTAACAATTTCTAAGAGAATTTTAAACTTCAAATTTTCTAAAATTTTCCAGCTACAATATCAGTCAGAACACGAATCCGTTACATAATGCTCTGCCCTATTATACAAGCATGTAATTAAAATTTAAAAAAAAAAAAAAAAAAATTAAAAATCATCACTACGCAGACAAAATTATGAACAGCAAACACAAGTCTGTAAAATACTATGAACAGTCTACAACTACAAAAAAAAAAAAAAAAAAAAAAAAAAATCTCACCGCAATACCAGTGGCCACACGGCGCCGTCTTGCATGGAACCTCAAAAATCCCGAAGCAGATCGGGCATACGTCATCGGCCGGGGGTTTTCCGATCAACGCCCTTTTCCTTTCTTCCTCGGCGAACGCCGCCGCACTCGCCGGTGGCATTCCACCTTTCGCAGCGGCAACTGTTTCTGCCTCAGTAGACGGAGCCGCCGTTTCTCCTCCGGTAGGGGTGTTCATTTTGCTTCGAGAAAATGAAATGGTGTGAATGTGGTTTTTGCATTGTACGGTAGGGTTTTGATCGATCGGCCGTTAAGGCACGATTAGCAGCCGTATTATTGTTAATCGTGTGATTATCACTGTGGATTAGTGGGTGATTATAACTGGTAATTATGCTGGGTGATGGTGGTTTATATAGCCGTACGGCAAGGAATTATAAACTTTAAATAATCACCCCCTTTGCGTTAGGCGCGTTTCCGATCATGTAACTAATTTAAAAATATTAAGATATATTTTGTATTTATATAATAATTAATTATGAAATAATAAAAATATAATTTCATATGACAATTAAAGCACGTGACACTTGGGGTCTCATAAAGTAAAGGAGCACGTTTCTTATTAATATGTATTTTTATAGTAACGAAAAAGTTCAAAAATAAATTTACACTCAATCACTACTTTTGAATCATGATAGCTAAATCACATAGTAGTGTTTGACTTTTTAATTAAAAAAATTAAATATTCTTTGGTTAGGATTGACATATGAACTCATGATGACATTACAGTCGGACATTTTAGTAAAATTAAAAAGCAAAAATTAAGCAAAACAAAACTAATTTTAAATGAAAATATTAGGAACATAAGGTAAAAAAATAAGGCACTTATAAACTCTCAACCCTATCACAATATATATATATAATCAACAAAGGGTAAAAATGGCATAAAAAAAGGCAAACACTGTAATGAATGTTGGTAATAAGAAAATCAAAAGGTGACATCAGTATATTTAAACATAATGCAAACAATTAAGAGTATATGGTACGTTTTGTAATTGAGGGATATAAACTGAACTTTGCCCTATATTTTTATAGTAACAATGTAAACAAACTAGTTTAAAAATAAATTTACACTCAATCACTAATTTTCATGATAGTAGTGTTTGACTTTTGCAGCATCCATTGAAATCGTTCCTAAAAAAATGTGTAATTATTAAAATTATAAATATGCATTTATAAACTATTAAGATTCATATAAAGAATTAAATATGTAAGTAAATATTTAATCAACTACTGATTTGCAGTTGATTATCAAAGCATATAAAGAATTAAATTAAAAAAAAAAACTAAAAAGTCTAATGATTTACTACCAAAGAGTAGCATTTCAATATTTTTGAAATTACAAAACTAGCCCAAAAAGTTTTGGTAGGTGTCCATGAGTTTTATGTCTAATAAACATTTACAATTATTAAATATTTAAATCAATTTACCAACCAACCACCTCTAATCTTGGAAAATTAATTTCCTCACCCATCAGTCTAGGCACGGGTCTGGGCCGGGTCCGAATCGGATTTTCAAAAAAAAAAATTATTTTTAAATATAAATAAACTAAAATTTGAAATCAGTTGGGCCAGGTCTGGGTCGGTTCCTGTTCGGTTCCGGGTCCACCCACCAAAAGTAGCCGTTGGATTTAATAAAAAGATTGAATTCGGTCGATCAGGTCGGGTCCGGAATATAGCTGTTAATTTTTTTAAATTTGGGTGGTCGGGTCCGGGTCTCCGGGTTCATTGTCGGGTCGGGGCAAAACGGACCCATGGCCGTGTCCTCATAAGACAGTAAGCAGTCAAAAGAACAAAACTAATACAACAAAACTTCTACACAAAAATCCACAGTGCTCCAACATATATATATACATGGGCATACATTTGCTAATTTCCGAAACAAAAAGAAGCAACATTTGTAACTGTTACCGGAGATTCTCTTTCTACAAATTCGAAAACACAGATTTTTCGACATTCATTTGTACTAATGCGACGTAAAAAAAAAAAAAAAACAAAACAAAAAACTCCGCATAAGCCAAAAAATCTATCCATTTTTTTTTCTATTGAAGTGCAGAAACTTTTTCAATTGCGCTCGGCCTGCAAGTCAGCCAGTTCTCTAAGATTTCGGAGGCGCCTTCGACGAAGATAAAGGCGAACAAGAAACACCGTGAGTGTGAGTGCACATGCAGTACCCTCCAACACATAATTGACGTTTAGTCCACCTGTACAACATACACGCAATAAGAGATAAAGAAAGATAAGTACTTAAAGCAAAACATTAATTCTAAAACAAATTAAAACTAAGCGAATCGGATCGAACGTACCTATTCTGAGGAAGTCAAAGGGGATGAACGAGTACAGCAATCCAAAGAACATCTGCACAGAATAAAAATACCAACATTCACTAAGAATCCATCAATAACAAAATCTTGGAATGAACATATATATATATATATATATATATATATATATATATATATATATATATATATATATATATTCTTTTTATATTATTTTAATTTATTATTATTATTTTTTAAACTATTCGAAAGCTACAATCCAAGTATTTGATTTTTTTTCACATGTACAAAATTCCAATAGAAACCAGTAAAATATGTAACGAAAAATTGGGTACAAAAACACAAATCTTCTGTCGAAAAGCAAGTCAGTATTTCTTGTCCCTTCATAATTTTGCCAAATGTTAAATGAACTTAACTGCAATTAAGCGCATGTCACTGAGAATAACAGCAGGTTCGTCGTCATCCAACATCCGACGGAACCTTCTCTTCATGCACAATGTTACAGCAAAAAGAAGTTTCTGTGAAAAAAACAGAAGAAAAAAGAGATGTCAAAGATCTTAGAGAAGAGGGTTCATATGATACTACTAATCGATGCTATCGAAAATGTACAAAATCAAAATCACTTTCATTCAACAACACCACTTTCTTTACCAAAAAGTGTTCATTCCACTAATCCAATACTTTTGAAAACTTACGAGTTGTACCTGACGTTGTCGGAGTTGTACAAGTGAAGTTGACAACATAACAGCAATCACCAAAAAAGCATGTATTGATTACATATAAACAATTTCATTAATTTCACATTAGGCATAATAGAAAAAAATACGAGAACCGAAAAGCCATCTCTAATACTTTGCAAATATCTTCAAATCGGTTATTGATAGAAATGCATCTACGTACCGTCGTCAATCCAGAAATGCCTCCCAAATGTAAGCGGTTATATTCATCAACATTCTGCAAAATTTTACGAATCTCGACTTCCCGTTTCTGATACAATGACGCCTCGGCCGTCAACTTCGTTATGCGCTGCGAGCACATAGGACACTTGCACGGCCGAAACGAATAACAAAAGTTCCAGTACTGCAAGATACAATTCCCTATCGAACACGGAAAAATATATTATAATTAGAAAATTAAGAAAACGGAGGGTAAATCGCATAAGAAATTAATTTAATTACAATGTAGAATACCTAATTAATAAATAAATCAATAAATAGAAATTTTCACAACTAAGAAAAAAATCTCACCGCAGTACCAGTGGCCACAAGGCCCCCTGCACGGAACATCAAAATCCCCAAAGCAAATAGGGCATACGTCATCAGTCGGCGGTTTTTCCATCAACGCCCTTCTCCTCTCTTCCTCGGCCGCCGCCGCCGCCAGAGGCGGCGGCGGCATTTCACCTATCACGGCAACTGTTTCGGCGGCCGCCGTTTCTCGTCCTACACCACTCGTCTCTCCGGTCCGGTGCAAACTCGGTTCCGGATTCGGGTTGGCAATTCGGGTCCGGGAGAAGAACCGGGTCAGGGTTTTCATTTTTTTTTTCTTCGACTGAATTGAAAATTGAAGCGGTTTGTGATCAGAAAAAAAAAAAAAATTGTGTGCTAGGGTTTGGTTTTCCGTCGATCGAATTCAAGGCACCATTAATACAATCCGAACTCCTCTTAATCTTGTCATTACCATTGTAGGTGAAAAAGAGAACTAAAAAAAAATGGCAGCTCTGCTGATTTGTGTGGAGGTTTTAGCAGGGAATAGCACCACGTTTTTCAAGAAAATATATTAATTTAAAACAAGCAAAATTGCGGAATATGGACAAAAATGATTTCGGATAATATTTTGCATTTTTTTTTTATTCTAAGGAAAAAAGAAATCGAAAAATTGAATTAAAAGTAGAAAAAATGATTTCTTGTTCATATGGATTAACTGTTGATATGGATTTTGATTCACGCAAAGTTGATGTTTGTGAGTGTGAGTAGAAAATGGGGCCGAAAAAATGACCTGAATCAAAGACTTTCGAAACACGTTGTCTTTTATCCTATTGAAAAAGAAAAAGAAAATAAAAAAATTAAAATTAAAATTGGAAACGAAAAAAAAAAAGTCGAAAAAAAAATGAAATCGGAAATCGAAAAATCGAAGAAGCTGGAATCCACATCTATGGTATTTTAGTCTTCGATTTCAAATCGATTGTGTTGGTTTTGTGTAGCACGGACACTGTAACATGGATACGATGAAACGGGAAACTTCGTTTTTAAAAAAGATGGATACTGGAACGTGGGGAAACATGTAAATAGTAAAAATATAGGCGTATAGTAATAATTTCTGAAAAATATTATAATATTATCGTCAATGATATATTTGTATAAACAAGTTATATATAGTTTGCAAGTTACAATCCGAATTATCATTTTCATTTCACAAATTACGTTTGGAGCATATAAATTTATTTTAGTATGGAATTAGTATCTATAGAAAATATTAAAAGAAAACAGGAAGTGAAAATGAAAACATAAGATTTAAGTTTTTTTCAAGCGCAAACAATTTCGAGTCTTTATTTAAACATGTTTTGAAAAGAAAAAGATTGTGGAAATGCAACTACTGTTTCATTATTATTATAGATGTCCCCGAATCTTTTAAATATTTATGGAAACAGCCCTGAAACGTTTCCGAAAGGTATCATGACATTTGGTTTCTGAAACGCTTTCAAAACGTGGAAACGCGTGTGTACAAAAGTTTCCGTGAGTCGTTAGTATTGTTAAATTGTTTAAATATATTAAAAATGCAAAATGCAAAATGCACAAAAGTATGATCAAAAGGTATAAAGTAAAATATGAACTCTACCAAATACAATGGGGTAAACCATACCCCATTCTGCTATATTTACATTGAACTTCCAATTTCTGCTTTGCTTCTTAAAGAGCATATATATATACATGCAGAAAATAGCGAAGTAACTCCTAATAAATTATATTATTAGAAAAAAAAAAAAAAAAAAACCTCACATAAAGTGGAATGGCAAACCGAAAACAGCCTTTCACACCGAACCCATAACCAATTACGGAAGAGCAATTTATCGAGAAGTGGAGCCCACTCGACTAACTATCGGATGCTTGTAGGGCCGCCAAACGCCTCACGCGCCCTCTAAGCACCCATCTATAGCCGATACCAACGAAGAATAGACATAGAATAAGTATACTAGCACCCACATCGAATGCTCTTTGAATCCCGAATCCACCTAAGTAAGAAAAGTAAATGTTAGTTCGCTAACTGCAATCAAATTATCAAGTCACAAAAAAACACAAATCACAAAGAATTTGCTATATAAAAAAATCAAGAATGCTGAATCATGCTTCTTTTCTCTAGAAACTTCTAAAGTAAAAATTAGAAAAATACCGGTAGGAATAAACTCGAACTCCCCTTTCTCGTAGAGCAAGGCCAAACACAACTGCAATAAAAAAAAAAGTTCGGAGATGGGCATGTATCAAACCTTTTGAACTCAATTCAGGAAGAACCCTCGATTAATTTATAAATAGCAACTAGAATGTACAAAAACGCGACGAAGATAGAGATTAATTAGTCGAAAATTATTAGTTTCGCTAGTAAATAATTAGTTAAAAGATTCATAAATCACATTCGAACAGGTCAACATAACGAACTTACCCCAAGAAGGCGCATTACATAGTAGATGCATCTCAAACCATCGGGATCCATCAGAATTCTTAATATTCGCCCCATGAATAGAGGCATCGCTACTATTATCTGCCAAAAACATCGATCAAATCGTCACCTTATGCAATTCAATTAAATTGAAAATCGAAACCCAATGTTAATTTACTATGTATTTGTAATTAGGGAATCGTACGTGGAAAGCGCCGACGACTCCGTTGATGTAGAGGCCGTTATAGCGGTCCACTTTTTTAAGGACCTCAGCCACATTATTATCTGCTGGTATTGTAATATGATTACGAGATGTCTCGGGTTTTAGGTTAACTATCCGACAACAGCACAACGGACATTTGCATGGTTGAACCGATGATCGAAACATCCAAAACTGCAATATGCAATTTGCTGCATAAAAGAAATAAAATATGAAAGATTGAGAAAACAATGATCACTGAAAAAAATTAAGTAATGAGTAGCAAATTAAATAAGATATGTCACATTTAGCAATCAAGAGTTGCAATAAAAGCTATCTCCTCCTTATAATAACATAACATAGGGGTAAAAACATATCGAAAAATAACAAATCTCTACATATAAAAAAAAAATAATAAATAAATAACAAGTTTCTTAGAAGCCGAAAGTTATCATAAAATTTGTAACTCGGTTTACAATTTGCACTCAGTTATTAATTTTTAGGGCAAATTGTACATCACACCTGTAAATTTCTAATTTTCGCATTTCACCCCTCAAAATTTTAAAAGTAGCAAACCTTTAATGGATTAACGATCGAAATTGAGTATTTTTATTGCATCGTAGTCCCTTTAACTTTGCCCCAGTAAATGTTATTTTTTCGCTACAGGCCCCTTAAAAACACTATTTTTTTGCGCGTCGCCCCTTTTCTAGGGCAAACTGCAACCAAAATAATATCGGGAGTAACCTTTTTTGAATTTTTAGGAGAAAAGGTGCGAAAATGAAAAATTCATTGGATGAAAGTGCATCTGTCCTAATTTTTAATATCATATATTTTCCAATTAGAATTTATAATTAATTCCATGTAACAACCTCAATATAAAAAAAAATCACAACATAAACGAAAACACCAAATACTAACTAAAGTACTCCCAGTGAATTCAAAGAAATAAACGTTACAAAATAAGTAAATTATAAAATAAAAGAAAAGAAAAGAACTTGCCGCAAAACCAGTGACCACAATTAGATCTGCATGGGATGGAGAATCTGTCGAAACAGATAGGGCAAACGTCATCAACCGGTGCCTTTTCTTTATTGTAACCCCCTCCTTTAATTCCCTCCTCCCTAATTATTACCTCTTCTTCTTCTTCTACCGCCTCCCAATAATCGAAATCAGAATCGGTATCAGTATCAGAATCGAAATATTCCGTTAATTCTTGGTGGGTCCCACCACCACTCTCTTCCTCCTCTTTCACCACCATCTCCGGTGTTGTTTCTCTTACACCAATGTTGTTCTTCTTGTTCTCCATTTTTCATTACAAGATTCTTCCTTCATTCCCAACCTAAACCATTTATTAATTTTTTTCTGGACACAAATATTACAAATGAAAAAAAATTTAAATGAATATGATTCTTTTGTTTTGTCAGTTAGTGACCGAAGGCGGCAATTCACCGCAGCGAGATTTCCACTAATGCACCATTGGTGCTGACACGTTGCATCCTACGTACGCCCTATTCCCATTTTCTTTTATATATTACAAATATATATTTTTTTTCTTTTTTTTTTTTTAGTCTCTTTTCTTGGTCTTTGGATAGGAACGATATCAACTATTAATTTTTGCGGTTTTGAACCCTATAAAAAAGTTGTGTTAAATATATAATTTGCACCCCCTATATTTTTGGGGAGTGTAACATTTACATGCTTAAGTATTTTTTTTTAACATTTATTCTAGCCATATATTTGGCCTCCCCTATATTTATTCGGGAGTGTAGTATTTACTTATTGGGTAAATTGAACTTTACATAAGCCAAAATAACTTTTAGGTTTATGCGGTATGGTATTTGTAATTAGACCATACTTCTGAAACAATTACCGGAACCAAAATTTCTTGTGATGAGGACAAAAATTTATAAATCTTATATAATATAATAAGGATTTAAGAAATTTTAGAAGAGTCGTGTCACCCTCTAACTTTATGTAGTCTCCACCACTGCCTGAAACTAATAATCCGTTAGAACCCTAATTGAATAACTTATTCAATGCATGATTCTATTAGGGTTTCTAACAATATTTCAAGAGTAATTGTATTACCGATACTACAAAGCTTTAAAGTTATTTTAACGTATCTCAGAGGTGTAGGTTTAATTTACCCTTGCTTGTTTAACAGCATCTCCACTTGAGAAGAATCATCGTGGAGCATTAACCACTCATTTAATACTTGATATAATACGAAATAATTTAGAGAAAAAAAAAAAGAAAGTAAAGGCAAACCACAGCATGATAATAATAATTATAATTAGAGTTGCCAAGAGAGTAACCCAGTAAACACTACAAGAAAATGACCTACAGTTTTACAAAGTACCATTTATGCATTAAACATACCAATTTTCCCGCCAAGAACAAACCATTTCAAACACCAACCATGGTCCTCACTTCCCATTGGTTGACCATGAAGGTAAAGCTCTTCCACCACCACCCTGGTCAACTTCACCAACGCTAACATCGAATAAATTGTCATCAAAGTCGATATCTTCGAGTCCGTCAATTAAAGAACAATCAATAACCTCGGGACTTTTATTGCGATTCTTCGTCAATCTTCTCTTTGACCGACCGGTGCTCTCAGTGAAATCGTCCTCGTTCGAAACATTATTAGCGACATTTCTTCTCTTCTTCGATTCACTGCTGTCGTTACTGCTGCTGCTGCTTTTGTCTTTGTTGTAATAATCCCTGATCGTAGCTTCGATTGTCTCCAGTACACGATCTCCGTATTTGGTGATCTTTGCCCTGAAAAAAAATGATGGTGATAATGTTTGGTGAAATTATTATTTGAAATGAATTGTTTACAAATTGGAAGATTTTTGTTTCGTCTGATGTAGTTGACTCACTTGCCAATACCGTTGATCTCTAAAAGTTCGTCTCTGTTTCTTGGTATTTTCATACTTATCAGCTGCAGTGTTGCATTTCTAACCATAAGAGAGAAAACAGCAACTTCAGTAAATGGTTTCGAAATTTAATGCAATTTTCATGCAATAATATATAAACCAAGATAGTCATTCTTTTAAGGAGAAAACGGAAAGTAGGATAAGAAAAGGGAACATAACCATACCCAAAAATGTGATATGCGCTAAACCCGTCTCCTGCTTCCTTGAGAAGAACAATTCTAAGCATTCGTAATGAGTTATATAATTTGGCTGAAAGGTTCTGCACAGACAAAACGGAAAAAAGTGAATAAATAACTGCACATATTTATATATATATATATATATATATATATATATATATATATATATATATATATATATATATATATATATATATATAACCCGTGACTTTAAGTAAGCCAGAAATATATATAACTAGTGTCATACCAAATCGACTTCAGAGGGAGGTTGGGCTGGAGTATCTATCTGTATAGGACTTTGCTTCTCTGATATCATAGAGCCTTTTGCTGGAGTGGCTTCTGTTCGACCTGGCTTAGATGCTTTAGGAGCAGATGGGAATCTGAAGGTTAATTTGACCAAAAAATGGTGTCAGTACAACGCAATAAGGAGCTGAAGACACTTGTCAGATAATATTTTTTTGGAGACAATAGAACGAACTCTCAGCTTTGGAGGTATTTTGTAATATAGCAAATCAATACGAGTTTACCATTCGAAACTCATAGCTGATTAGCCAAGTGTTCGACAAAGCAACAGAGAGAACTTTATGCTAGTCATTCAGAATTTTTTTCGGGATTTTATGTTAGCTTCAGATAGGTCACAAGGATTTGAATGCATGCCTTTGATGATTGCCAAAAGCTTGAGTTGTTAAATGGGGGTGGGGGTGGGGGATCATCTCCAAAAAAGTGGGAGTAACATACTATAATCACAGAAAGGGGAATAACCTTAATTTAATCGTCTGGGCTCCAGAAAAGAGATTGTAAGCCTTGGATCCATTCACCTGAGATGAAGGGACATATGCCAAAGGCAATTTTTTTAATATATAAATCAGCATGTAAAAAAATGAGAGTTTTGGGGGAAAAAAATGTTATACCTTCACAATTGAGGATACTGATCCATATAGATCACTCTTTTTCACATCCTCAACGAGAATATCTTCAATGACCAAATGGCGGAGTACACGAGATGCTTCACCCTTGGCCAAATGTTTTCCAGCCCCATGCAAGCTCAAGTTCTCGTGTCTATGTTTCTTGACCTAGGTTTTTGCATAACAACGTTATCAGATTACGTGCATTGGACATAAAAAAAAAAAAAAAAAAAAAAAGACATGAAAACACTTCGGATTATCAGGACGTACAAACTGGCTTAAGGACCCTCTGTAGACCTCCAACAGATGGGCAGCCGAAAACTGCTGTCCTGTTGTCTTTACCAATTCAACCTGCATAGAATATTGCATAATGTTTTATCGACACTGTAACTAGACTATATTACACATCCAATAAAAGATTATAAGAAGACATAGGTACTACGACAGAACATATTCCCTAAGAGAAGAGAAAATAATAAACTTGAGAAACGGGAACAAATATGAATGTCCTAACCAACTGCCTTGCTGTCCCAGTCACGTCTTTCTCCACACAGCTTTGATTTTTGGAACAATTGTCGCATGTTTTCTGGCAGTTTAGAGAATCGAATTTTTCTCCGAAATGAACTAGCTGTAGGAGACGTCGACAGTCGACATCATTTTCGGAATAGCTAACCTGAAATTAGTGCCAGTTTATTAAAAGACATTAGCAACTCAACAATTATAATAATAAAAGGACAATAACAAAATATCTTTCCAGTACCATTCTTAGGAGATTCTCAGTGTTTGTCTCCAATAACCTCCCTGACTGTCCCGTATTTGTACGACTGTATCCCGATCCAAAGGGAGTTTGCTCAGCCGCTCCTTGACTAATCATGTGCTTCACACGAATCTGCAGAAAAGAGAAAAGGGATAGACAGTTGAAAAGGTTGACATAGGTCAGAATATTAATGTGAGCAAGAAGTGCATGTAGCAATCTATGATCAAAGGATGGAGAAGATAGACTATGATTTTGGAGCTCACATAATCACTATAGCTGTAGTATAACACGCAAGATGAAGGCTGACCATCCCTACCAGCACGACCACACTCCTACACACAATAAAGTAATGTCCAACAAGATTAAAATATATTATTATCGTTGATTTACAATAATTAGAGAATTTGCAAAGATAAAATGAGGACGAATGTGCTCCGGAGACTACCTGATGGTAGCCTTCGATGGATTTTGGAAGAGAATGGTGAATGACAAACCGAACATCAGGCTTGTTGATACCTAAAAAGTACTCGTGTTAGTGGAAATCTGTTATAAGCTCCAAAGGGGAGCAAAGAGTAGGAAATCGTACCCATCCCAAATGCCACTGTTGCACATATAATATTGACCTCATCCTTGCTCCACTGTCTCTGAACCATTGAACGTTGAGTACTCTCCATGCTGCCATGGTAAAAGGCTGATTTGTGTCCATACTCCTGAAAAATGCATATGTTTCCAACGTAAATCCAACAAAGACTAAAGAGCACATCCACTGTATTGGTGTTGCAGTGAAGGCATTACTTCTGCCCCGCCTTTAAAACTCATTACGCAAAAATTCAAAAATCTAATGCCATATAACTTGCTCATGTGCATTGAAAAGAATAAGAGCTAAAAAAGTTCATGAGAAAAATACATGGGGAAATAATAGGTTATCTTTCAAAATGTACTTTAAATATGTTATATGTTCTTCTCCAGAAGTACTACAATTGTACATTAACTCGGAACTTCTCCCTCAATTCATCATGAAAATGACTCTAATTTTAATGAGTCATAAAACAGGGCAGGGCGCAAGATTGAGGCCATGCTTTAAGGTGCAAAATCTAGAATGACATTTAATGTTATCAACATGCAAAAGGAAAGAGATTCATTTGCTTTCACTGGAGATTGATGACCTATACAATGGGGTTGTCACGAGAGATGAAAATATTCAAAATAGTTGAGAATTAGTTAATAACAATATCAGTGGAAAGCTTGAGTCATATTCATTACTGCATCTTTACTATCATCAAGTCAGCGGAAAGATCAATGTAAATGGACAAACCTGTAACTTTTCGGCGACTTTTTCACAATCCATCCTAGAAAGACAGTAAATGATTCCACATTCATCGAAATGATTCTCTCTGATAAATTTGTCAATATCTTCTACACACTTCCTTGTCTTGGGAACGACAGAATATCTGCAATAGCGGCAGCATAAGAAATTGCGCTGAGCCATGTAAATCTTAATTACAACTTACCGTAAGTTTGGACGATTAAAACTTTGCCGAAAAACTATGCAATTCACTAGACCAAGAGCTTGGACAACATCTTCCTTCACACTAATAGTAGCAGTAGCAGTTAAAGCCAACACAGGTATGGTTGGGAACTTCTGTTTCAAAATACCGAGACCCTGCACATATAACACACTCAGTTTAGATGAATCCAATCAATTAGAAAATAGAATTTGTGGGCTCTACACAGGCTTCAACACGTCAAGAAAATGTTAAAAACTTCAAAACAATTTTCAAATCCGAGAGGGAAAAAAAAACAGTTCGAATAGCTATTAGTTTTGCTTGGAAGGTTATGAATCTATTTACAAGTCCAATCCCAATTTGTTGATTTCTAGTAGCAATACAGTGTGTGCCCATATTTATATCATCAGCTAATGCACGACCAATGTTGGGATAAAAATCATTTCTGGCATCATCCCTTCCGAGGTGTTTGAGCAAATAAAACACATGTTGAGATCAATAAAGCATGGTATACACAATCATTGAGTCGTGACTATAAAGGATAGGCCAGTCAACTCTCGGACTACTGAAATAAAATATTAAAGCTTAATATGAAGCTACAAACATACAAAACCTGGTAATCTGGTCTAAAATCATGTCCCCATTGGCTAACACAATGAGCTTCATCAATGACAAACCGAGCAAGAGACTCACGAGCATGTAGGTTCTCCAACTGACGGAGTAGAACATCACTCCTGCAGAACCAATGAAAATTGACTACTTACAATTGCACAAAAATGATAGTGGCACATGCATGCTTCAGAAAGGCATTATGGTTCATCCAAATAAATGTGACTTTAACAGTCTGGACAAACACGCAATTAGCTTCGTGTATTTGATTCCTTCAATGGATACCAGTTAACTGCAGCTTGATGTGCTATACAAATACAAATACAAGTGTATATATATATATATATATATATATATATATATATATATATATATATATATATATATATATATATATATATATATATATGTCTTGCAACTTATACTTTGAATAGACAGTAAAGTTAACTACACACTCCAGGCAACATAATTGCTGATACATTTTTCATTTTAACATATTCGTCTCACAGTCCATGTATCACATTTCTCCAAGAACACGGCTTGATTTTTCACAACCTAACTGATAATCTGCAGCATTTGTTCTGCGAGTGAAAACAAGCCTTTGTGGACGGGTCTTAAATATCAATGGGTGGATTAGTGCAACCACCTAAAAGCATTTGTTAATCTCCATTTCTCTTATAGTAGTTTCATAGAAGAAATAGCAGTTAAAGGCACAAGCAGGTAAGTTTAGATTAGAATATGTTGTTGACTTATCAACCACCTAGTATGCAAACATACATAACCAAAACAAGCAGGTAATTTTGAATATGGAGTTTTAGATCTTTAAGAACCTTTACTCACTTAGCAACTTTCTCTGGTGTGACATACAACAGCTTGTATTTGCAGTAATCTGAGCTAAGCTCTCTAAAAATCTCCTGCTGCTCACTCCACTCCATGTTGGCACTTAGATATGCAGCAGGTATGTTTGCCTGGTTGTAGTTTTGTAGAAATAAACAAGGTTAGATTTTACCAGTGTCACTAAGCATTTACCGCAAATTAAGTGCACGATAACATATCATTCAAACAATGTTATTGAGGAGATTACCTGAAGTAGATGCATTATTTGGTCTTGGATAAGAGAAACAAGAGGTGAAATGACCAAAGTTATGCCTGGGCATACAAGAGCCGGCAGCTGCAAAAAAACAGCATTCACACTACATCAACGGTCAGTTTACAAAGTGCTGAACAAAATAGAATTGCAAATTGACTTGTAAAAATCCAGTTTACACCACTGGCTATGTAACTATCACAGTCTACTAAGTCGAAATCAGTTCCCGAACAAATCAGTGAATGAGAAAAATTATCATCAGGTTCGAAAACATATAAACTACAAATCTAACTCTACATGATTTCCGAATACAATACTGCATTTTGTGTCTAATAATATTCAATTGCATAATCTCTTTTGCTGATCTGATCACCACTTATACTATTATCACTACAGTCTATGTTCAAAATTTTACTCTCTTCTAATTTGGGTAGAATTCACGACACTCACCTCAAAGTTGAAATAAAGGTATCCTGCTGAATTATTCATTAGTATTTAAACTTATCAATAATAAAAACTATACATGATAAATATAATTCTTAAAAAAGCTACAGATTTTGTACATCTAATTTGAATATTGTAATTTCCAGACTAAGATGAGGGTAATCAGCAAAGATAACTAACTATCTTTACCAAAATACTGACATTCAGCTTGAGCTAAAACAAGAAGATATGAAAATAATATAGCTCAACAATTCCTAAATAAGACAGATTGCATCACTAAGAAGCTGGACAAATACAAAATGACAAAAACACATAAAGAACTTATTTAACCTGATAAGTCAGGCTTTTCCCTCCTCCAGTTGGCATTAAAACAAAGACATCGTGTCCGCTCATTGTAGCATTGATCACCTCTCTCTGGTTTGGGCGGAAGGAATGATTTCCAAACACTTTCTTGTTGTTGACCTGACATAAGAACAGATGAAAAGAAAATTAGAATGCCAACTCATGGCATCTGCAACAAGAGACGATAGCCAATAAAAACCTCTAGCTCCTTTGTCCAAGAAAATTCCCGACTACTCCATTTTTTGTCATTTGAACCATCTATGTAGTTGATATCAATATACTTTGGAACATATGGTTCTCTCTCAAATGGGGCAGTTGAAGTCCCAAACCCATCCGCGGAAAATGAAGTGGAAGATGAACCCCATCTATCAAACCCATAGGGCTCATTATTTGCTTGGAACTGGGTATCAAGCCTTCTGGGATCAATTCTAAATGGCATAGTTGAAGGTGTATCAGACTGGAAAGCCCTAGGGGCTGTTGTGGATGCAGAAAATTGTGACATGTTTCTTTCCTCGTTGACTGATGTAGTGTTAAGATATTTCTCAAGCTGCTGAACTTGTTTCTTCAACTGCTGCCTAAAACAGGCAAATATGATAAATTTTAGATGATTTAGTAAACTACGTCAAAGAAAATATCCTAAATTTCAAGCTTGTACCAAGAAAACAATTGAACATATAAGTACAAGCAACTAAGAGAGACAATCAAACCTTTCTTGACGAAGGGTCTCTACTTGTTCTGGACTCATCTCATCAACATTGTCTATAAGATCATTCGATATGGCTATTAGGCTATCTTTCATAGCTTGCAGGTGATTTGAAGCTTCAGGGCAAAGTCCCAGCTGCACCAATATTATTAGAGTCCAGTTAATAATCCAGTAGTAAATTTGGATTACGGCAAGGAATATGTTAACTAAAAGATTACCTTATAATTGTGATTGCACATCACACACAACTCTGAAGGCAAATTTATTTCTTCGTTGAGAAAATTGTCTTTCTTTGTATGAGGAGTAATCGGTGGGAGTTTAGAGATTGATGGTTGAGGTGTTGACTGGTAATGATCCGAAACTATCCGATCCACATCAATATTCTGAAGAACAGAAGTTAGCTGTCAGATGTATCATTTATGTCCCACACACCACTCGGGAGGTTAAAGCCGACAATTCAAATAAAGCTCATATTGTAAACCACTGACATGAATTACCTCCATAATGTCATCTTCATCAATGCCATCAAGCACAGTGGGGCCATTCCTTGCACTTACGTGCACGGCTGATTTACCGGCAGTGGAATTGATGGTTTGTCTTTGCGATGTATCATTTGTCGATGAGTGTGAACCCTTCTGCCCGAACATCACCTGTCTGGCTTCCTTAGCCTCGAAAGTGTTGGGTGGAAAAGAACTGTCCAAGCTCTTATTGGGTTTACTGGTTTGTACATCACCATTACTAAAGCTTTGATAAGTTTGATTACAGACTGCAGCTGTGCTTTTCGAACCAGGTAGGCATTGTTGAGTTGTCCGTCTTGAGCTTTGAGATGTGAATGCATTGACATCTTTGGATAGAGGAAGAGTTTTTCCAAGTTTATTATAATTTCGAGAAGATAACTGAAGCTTGGAAAGAAGCTGCCAAGCCTGCCAACATTATCATTTGACGAAATGAGAAAATATGAATCCAAGTTAAAATGGAAATCAAGTTGTAAGCTGAAAATTGATTGCTTCGGCAGCTTGAGGAGGTGGCAAGACGAGATAATTCATTCTATCAACAGATCACTTAATGATATAATTGATTTAGAGTGAAGTGTCCAATCTATAGACTATAGAGAAAGTAATATCATTTTGGTAATGGTGCATTACAGGACACTGGGCCCACAGCAAGCCACATCTTAATAAAGGGATAATAGAACAAACTATAATCCGGAAATAACAGAGGTACGCATGCTCATATTTTTTTTAATGTTTCACCTTTTCAAATTGCACATTCTGCGTTCTGAAGTCTCGAACTTGACAAATCACAGACCTGAACATACAGAAAAAAACAATTTAAGGAAAAGGAAACAGAGGTACTGCAAAATGGTGACCATTATAATAATACACAGTATGCTTTCAATCAGCATGAACATATTCAACATCCTAATTATATAGTAAGAATAAATGAAGATGATTGGGAAGATGGTCAATCTACAAAGAGAAGCAGTATATACTATTTTTTTAAATACACACACACACACACACACACACACACACACACACACATAAGGCCAATATATATTGGCCTTATAAATGGCCTGCAACACCTTACCCAAACGGAATTGAACCATAGACCTATTTCTACCTTCCCCGCCAGGCAACGCCTTTGTGGTGAAGCAGTATACATACTAGAGTTATTTTACATAGAAATTTCTCTCCATAGCAATCCTATTCGAAGTCATCGACTAGGTTTTACGTTCAAGTAAAAAAAACTCAACTGAAGCCTTCATATCATAAAGCAACTTTCAGAACATGATAGAACATAAAATGCATGGCTAATATATTGTATAATATACCATGCATTAAAACCACTATTATTTTTCAAACGAAAAAAGTGGTTGGTTGTGCTGTACCTGGTACCCATTGCTTCACCAATTTGAGGTTTCTGAGTAGGCAACGAGAAAAGGAAGTTGGCACTCAAGAATTTATCTTGGCTCGAAAAATTATTGTGTGCCTTGGCATGGTCCGACCAATTCACTTTATGCAATTTGTTGCTACAGTTCATATCTCTAACAGAGTCGCTTCCCCTGCATTGAAGGATAACTTTTTGACCAAAAGTCGAAGGAAAAATATGTTTACAGATCGAAAACGAAATAAAAATGAAATGAACTAAAAGTCATGTTCATAGTCCTTGCCTCACATGCTTTTCCTTCATCATTAGTTAACATATTCTGTTAGGTTTTCTCTGAGTTGTCTTGTTCTCAGAAAACCCAACCCAATTAACCTAAACATGTGAGACCAAAATTCTGTAAGAATCCACAAAACAAAACAAAACACGCGCCCAAAAAAGATACTAAACAAAATGGAATTCAACATTTCATGTACACAATTTCCGGCCAAAAATTCTCTCTACAGTTAGTTACCTAAATACTCAAATGAGGTGAGATTTTCAAACAAAATTTTATAAAGGCGCTACAAATCCAACAAATGCACTCAAAATTAAATGAAAAAAACTAACCTCTATGAACAGTATTCGCCGGAGATTAATAGAGCAACGCCGAAGAATTGACACGCTCGAACAAACTCAGCAGCCGATTTTTAATTTTTTAATTTAGTTAATGCGTGTGTGTGTGTGCGCTTCCGTCTGAGAAATGAAGAGAGAGAGAGAGGCTTCTGCCTTCAAATCGAAGAGAAGATATCAATGGCGGGATATAACAACAAGTGCAGCATTTTAGGGATGGCGCTCGAATTTGAGTTTTTTTTTTTTTCTTAAAAAAGTTAAAATATCTTTTCCTTTTTCAAACATATATATTCAGATTAAGTATTTTTAATTTTTTATTGAAAAAATGCTGCTTAATTTCACTTTGCACCCCCGAAAGATAGATGTTTGACACTTTGCACCCTCGAAAAAAATTAATAGCAATTTGCACTGTCAAAACACAATAAATCATACATCATGCACCCCAAATGAAAGTTATGGGCATGATTTTTGTTTTCTTGTACTTTGTACGCTCAAAATTAGATTGGATGTTGAAGAAAATAATAATTTAATTTATTATTTCGCATCCTATAAGTAAATAATAAAAAATAAACAACATATGAAATTACTCTCATTATATTTTAAATATTCAATTTATGGTGCATTGTGAATGATTTATTAAGTTTCGATGGAGCAAAGTGTTATTAATTTTCTCAAGGATGCAAAGTGCCAAAATATTATATTTCAAGGGTGCAAAGTGAAATAAGCCAAAACATGTTGCATCAATATTCAATAGTAATGTTTCCTTATTGACAACAATTTTTTGAATTTTTTTCTCACTTATTTTCCAAATAAATATTTATGTTGAATTTTGTAATTCTATGTTTAATATATGAAATTGAATATGTATGTGTATATATATTATTATAAATAATTAATTAATTAGTAAGTAGGCAATTATTACAATTCTATCTAATGTAAACTCAAACGGCTAAATTTGTAGTTTTTGTGGCAACATTGAAATAATATATGGGCAAATTACGCCCCTCGATGTAAGATCAAATTACGAAAATATTCCTACTATTTGTATAATTTTAAGCACCCACATCTGCTGTGTATTTCCTTACAGAAAAAGCTCTCTAGTTGATAAATTTAGGAGCGTTCATTCGCTAAAATTGTACAAAATTACGGTATGCCAAAATTTCAGTTTAATGTTTGGGTCGTTAAATAATCGAATTACCAAAATTTTATTTAAAATATTTCAAATTTTGATTTTTTTTATTAAGTTTAGTTTAAATACTATTATTACATATATAAAATAAAATTAAACTTAATACCACACCGAAAAAATGGTTCGGTAATCGTCATGTACGAATTTTTGTTCGGTTTACCGACCGGATGAACACCCCTAGGTAAATTTGATATTGTGAGGGTGGACATGTAAGACCATGTATAGTTGATGGGTGGTTGTAATTGTGCAAACAAGATGCATTTTTTCGTAATTACGCCTTACCTTAGGGAGGTAGCCGTAATTTGACCAATAATATATTATATCATATATTTTTTGGGTTAAATACAAAAACACCCATGTACTATGAACTTTGTATTATATACCCTATGTACTACATATAAATACAAAAACCCGCATCACATTACATTTTTCCCAAAATATGACGAAAATACCCCTACTCAAGCGCGCGTGTGCGCGCGCGCGCGCACACACACATGCATATATATATATATATATATATATATATATATATATATATATATATATATATATATATAGCCATTTTCCACTATATATTTTACCATTTTCAGTCAATTTAACGTGGGAAATTTTGGTATTTATATTTTTTTCTCCAAAACATCTAATTGCTTAGATTTTTTTTTTACAATTTTCTGAATAAAACATTTTATTTTTGTCATTTTGAGTTTCTTCATTTTTTTTCCCTTAAATGTCATCCTATAGTTCAAATATCCTAAGATTACAAACATTTTTACAGTCCTGTTATGGTCGAGAATTTGAACTATCGGAAGACAACTTAAGAAAAAAAATAAAGAAATTCAAAATGACAAAAATATAAGGTTTTATTCGGAAATTCAATGGTTTGAAGAAAAAAAATAAAAATATCAAAATTTCCCAAGTAAAATTGACCGAAAATGTCGAAAAATATATTGAAAAATGGCCCAAACGAACCCTTATATTTATAGGCTTAGCAGGGGTATTTTCGTTAGATTTTGAAAAAAAATATAACAGTATGGGGTTTTTTGTATCTATGTGTAGTACAGACTACAGAGGTATATGATACAAAATTCATAGTACATGGGGTTTTTTGTATTTAACCCTATACATGTATTCAATATTGGAATATAAAGTTACAACAATATAATAATTGAGAATCAAATGACTGTGAATGTGTGGAGAGAGTAAATTGTATCTGGGAATAAGGAAAAGATTAAAAACACACATAATTTCATCAGTTCGACAGTTTTCTTCATGGGGTTTCATGTGTGTTCACAGACGCTTTACTCTGCTCCTACCCACCACCAATTCATCAACTCCATTTCACGAGGGTTTCACAGAATCAAAGTCTCCAGTCCGCGAGCAATGCAGCAACAAGAAGAAGTGCATACAGTGCGGGTTCCGCACGTGCTGACTGTAGCTGGCTCCGATTCCGGCGCCGGCGCCGGAATTCAAGCCGACTTGAAGGCTTGCTCCGCCCGCGGCGTCTATTGCTCCACTGTTATCACCGCCGTCACAGCTCAGAACACCGTCGGTGTTCAGGTGAGGCTTATATTTCACGCTGATAAAAAATAATTGTCTTTTTCTGATACATTGAATTTATAAGAAGAGTTGCTCTGAAGAATTTCCCTTTAGATTTTAAACGAATAGAATGATGTAATAAGTTAGCGAATTCAACATGGATGGTCCTAAAAAAAATTTTGCAACCAAATTAATTACGAAAACTAAATTGGGAAATGAATGGATCAGGTTGTGTATTTAATTTTTAATGTCTTGAAATAAGTTTGCATTTGATGTTATTAGGGAGTGGATATTGTGACGGAGGATTTCGTTCGAGAGCAATTGAAGTCGGTGCTGTCCGATATGCGTCTAGATGTTGTAAGTCTATCGAAACATCAACTCTTGCAGAATGTTTAGTATTTTTCGGTTCAGTGTAAGTGATGATTTAGTTGCTGGAAATTACAGGTGAAAACCGGTATGCTGCCTTCGCCCGGCATAATCAAGGTCCTCTGTCAAAGCCTCAAGGAATTCCAAGTTAGAGGTATTCCACCGGAGATATTTCGAATTCGTTGCCGTCACTTTTGTAACATGATTCTGTCAATCTTAAATAGTGGGTTATCTGTTGACATTATTATTTTTGTGAAGGAAGCTTTGGTGGTTGATCCTGTTATGGTATCTACAAGTGGTGATGTACTGGCCGGTCCTTTGATTCTGGCCACCCTTAGGTATGTTTGATACTAAATATTTCCCTTCAATTCATTAAATCGTGTTGTTTGTCACCACTCGTCTAAAATAAGAACGGCTGCATATATGGCAATAAGTGGGTGCCACTGGAAACAAACAGTTATTTATTCAGAAAATCTATTCTCGTGTTTGCTCCATTTCAATCTTGTTGATCGAACATAGAAAGGTTTCATTGACGACACAGTAGCTACCGTAACCCGTCCAATGTTTCCAAACGGAAGTCTATTATTTTGTTTGATTTCACTAGTAAAATTAATGGATAGGAGCCACTAAAAGTTGTAAAGTAATTCAAGTGATGGACATGATAATCTTCCTATTTAAATTGACTCGTCGACCATCAATATAAAGTGAAACCATGAAATTGATCGTATATGATTCACAGCCAAAACTCTTTCCATTTGTTCATTTTCTGCAAGTTTATCTGGTGATTGTATCTGAACCTGCACTTTTTATGAATGTTATGGAGAACGATCTTTAAGTTGTCTGTTTTCAGTAATGCACAGGTGCCAAACAAGATTGAATGTAGAGAATTACCTTTCCCGTTTTATATTCATTAATCTATATCCTATTTTTGTATTCTATTCCTTCACAATAGGGAGGAGCTTTTTCCCCTGGCCGATATAGTCACTCCGAATGTAAGAGAGGCATCGGCTTTACTTGGTGGCATACCAGTGGAAACAGTTGCTGACATGCGTTCTGCTGCAAAATCTATACATGATATTGGCCCTCGGTTAGCTCTTGAAAAACTAATAAATCATTTAATGCTTTAAATTTTGCTTATGTTACTGCTCTTAGGTATGCTTGACATATTTTCCGTTCTTAACAAAACAAACAAAATACAGTTTTGTAATTTGAAGGCGAAATTTTATAAATCTGAGATTTTGTCATTTCTGTTGTCAGAAATGTACTTGTGAAAGGAGGTGACCTTCCTGCATCCTCAGACGCTATCGATGTTTTGTTTGATGGTATACTTCACATATCTTTTGCAGTATGCTTCACACCATGTACTTATTTTATTTTTATTGAAACTGATATAATTATATGATTTGACCTTCTAGGTAAGGATTTCTATGAGTTCCGTTCAGCCCGGATAAAAACTGTGAATACACATGGAACTGGCTGTACTCTGGCGTCATCTATAGCTGCCGAGCTAGCTAAGGGCTCTTCAGTGCTCTCCGCTATTAAGGTATTGAGCATCTTTTGTTATTCTGTTGTCAAAGCATCTATATATGGATGATATTCAGCATACTGAAGTTCCACATCATTCCCATCTCTTTGCCTCCATTTACTCACTTAGACATTGAGTTCGAAAAGGAAACTAATTATTTGCCGTGCTCAAATATGATTATGCACTATAGAATATCTCATAATATCCTTTTGGTTGTAATGGTATTATGTAACTCTAGCACTTCAGCCCTCATGTCAGTGTGACTCGATGCTATTCACTTAGCATATTACTGTTCAAAAGTGGGTACATCTCTCTGGCAGATGACATCAAATCAAGAACCAAGCCACGATAAAAATCTGTTGATGTAGTAACTCGACGTGTCTCCTCTCAGTTAACTGTTAGCTGGCAAAAATAATTTGCTATCAGAATATGCCTAATTTTCTCGTTACTATCCTGCAAAACACTGGAAAACATTCTATATCTGCCTTTTGTTATTTAGAGTTTGAAAATTCACGACACTTTTTGACCAAATCAGCAAATACCGGGCATGTGTTTTAACAATCGACTTCTTAGACACCATGTATGCTTGTTAATAGTCCCAAGACATACAGGTAGAAATCAAGTTAGCACCACCTTCCCTTCCCAGTCTTCTAATTTTCCTTCTATAATAGCACAAATATATCGAGAAAGAACTACAAGTGAAATTTCTTTTTGACTGTGGATGCTACTACTATGGCTAGATGCGTTTTGTCCATTTTGATTTGTATTTCCAATGCTATCAAAATTCATAGAATCTCATGGGATTTTATATATTGCTGCTTTCAGATTGCCAAGCGTTATGTTGAATCGGTACTGGGTTATAGTAAGGACATTCGTATTGGAGAAGGACAACAAGGTCCCTTCGACCATTCAATGAAGCTTAAGAACAATACTCCGAATCTATGTGCGCGTCGACCATTTGATCCGAGCGATCTTCTCCTGTATGCTGTCACAGACTCAAGAATGAACAAAAAGTGGGGTCGTTCCATGAGTGATGCTGTGAAAGCTGCCATAGAAGGAGGTGCCACTATAATTCAGCTGAGGTTTGTTTTAAACCCATTCGCCTCTTTTCTTTTTATTCTGCATAATTTTGACGATGAATTCGATTTCTGGACAGTGCATCATGGAAAAATTTGATCATGGACAACTAAGCGCTAATTTCGCCTTAAAAACTTGGAAAGAAAATTAGGGGAAAAAATGAGGAGAAAAGAGTTTCTTTTTATATTTTCTGGACTATATACTACAAGCACACTTCATGCAGAATTTTCTTCCTATCTCATTTTTTCGCATTTTTTTTGTCATTTTTAGAGAAAAAGATTCGGACACTGGAGACTTTCTCAAAGCAGCCAAAACATGTGTGGAAATATGCCGGCCCCACGGTATACCTCTACTGATAAACGACAGAATCGACGTTGCCCTTGCTTGCGATGCCGATGGAGTTCATATTGGGCAGTCCGACATGCCTGCCCAGACTGCCCGGGCTATATTGGGGCCCGAGAAAATCATCGGTGTATCTTGCAAGACACCCGAGCAAGCTGAGAAAGCATGGATTGGTGGTGCCGACTACATTGGCTGTGGCGGTGTTTATCCGACAAATACGAAAGAGAACAACGTCACCGTGGGATTGGAAGGGCTGAGAAGAGTGTGTTTGGAGTCAAAGTTGCCTGTGGTTGCTATTGGAGGGATTGGCAGTTCGAATGTGAAACATGTGATGGAATTAGGCGTACCGAATCTTAGAGGAGTTGCGGTCGTTTCTGCTCTTTTTGATAGGGAGTCTGTTTCCGGTGAGACGCGAAATCTGATGACACTGATTAAGGATTCGACCAAGGTGTTGAAATGAGAGTGTGTTCTGTTCTGAATATGAGGTTTGTGTGTAATTGATGTATCCAATTGAATACACAATGAAGAATAATCTATTTGTGAACTAGTTGTTTGAAGGTTTTGTAGATTCTACACTTTGTCAGATTTACTGTTTAGTTTTACACCGTTGATCTATACATAGTCACACACACACACACATGGATGTGTGTATAAATGCGTAGTTGACGAATAGATGTTTATGGTGAGTTGCACTTGGTGAAGTTCATCAGAGTGTAGATTTGAATGAACTATTTTTTGAGGATTGAAATTTCTTATATTTTGTCCAATGTTGATAAGAATATGTATACTTTATAAAATATATAAATTTAAATTCTCGATCAAATTAGTTTTACAAAATTTGGCCAGTACGAATTTACAAACATTAATTAAAAAATATATACAAAAACTAAAAACATAAAAAATAAAAATAAAAAATGATGAAAGAAGAAAACAAAGCATGGGCAGTGGGGGCACGAAAAATAGAAAATGCCTAACAATAATGTTGTCAATTTATGGGTCATTTTTTTCTTCTCCAACTTGGATGGGTCTGCTGTCTAGTCACGTGCCTCCAATAATTCAATTACATTATTCAATATTCAATTCATTGCATTTATTTATTTATTGTGGAAAAATTCCTAGGACTCATTTAATGATTGATTATTGATAATGGAGTCTATCGTGTTGGTAAGAATTGTGACGATATGTTGATCATGAGATTTCAAGCACTATAGATATTTTTCATTATAAAATGATTATCAATTTCATGTTATATTAATTTAATTTTTTATTTATTATTTGAGTTACATTTATTTTTAGAATCCATTGTATGTATGATGAGTGATGACTCTTCAAAATTCCTCAAAATGAATATATTAATGACCACTCCTAAATTTGAAGGAGCAATTCCAATACCACATAAATAGGGGTGGAAATCGGGCTGATCGAATCGAAATTGGCACTTTCGAAAAAAAATACAATTTTTCCAGAAATCAAAAACTAACTCTAATCCCATTCCAAAAAGAAAATCGAAAACATCAGAATTTCAAAATTCAGAATGAAAAATATTGTTCCAAAATCGAATCATCAAAATTCGAAAATTCAGTTCCAACTTATACCACTACGCATAATCGAAACCTTGGTTTTTCGAAACCAAATATGGGTCACCATCAAATACAACACTAAAACAAGAATGTTGCACAAACCTCAAAACATGTAATAACTCACAAGAACTAATTTGACCACCACCACCACCACCACATGTTCTAAGCAAACAAAACACTCACAAACTTCACTACATACCCTCTTTACAACATAGAAAAATGCACACAAGCCTCTTTATCACAACACAACATCAAATTTACATACTTCCCAAAATTTAAAAAAAAAAAAAAGAAACCCGACCACGGTCATAACATTAACAAACGAAAAAATCCGATCTTTATTGTACACACAAATGCAAATATAGGTTTCTCAAGTGAGACGAACTTCCCCACTCGCATGAGCGGCTTTCACTTGCTTGTCATATTCGTCTTCTAGTTGTTCTTCTCCTTCTTCCACCACCACCTCCTCCTCCTCCACATCTTCCTCTTTAACATACTCTTCCTCCTCCCCTGCCCACCCAAACCCGCTAATCGAGCGGGAGGCCGGCGGGGGGGTTTTCGCCTCCTCCACGATTTTCATTATCTCCTCCACCGTTTGAAGTGAATATGTAGGGTTTTCTCTTCGGTAGTACGCCGCTTGAGCTACATCCGTTAATTCCCTAGGCAGATTCTTTAGAAACCACGGGTGTGATTTTATATCTTTGATTGTGATTCTCTGCACCAAATAATTATAATCACACACACATATATATATATTGTGTGTTTTCCACTAAAAAGTTAAAAATTGACGGCTATTATATAATTAATATTGAATCGAGATGATTTCGAAAATCGACTTCGCAAAATGTGAATATAATAGCTTCAGTATCATAAGAAAACAAGATGCAAACATGATCATTGTATAGAGAAAACCGTACCCTCGCAGCATTGGCAACAAATATGCGAGAAAGAAGGTGCCTACAATCTTGGGATATGTGGACGTAGTCGGGAATCTTATATTGAACAGCCATTATCCTCTGCGACAGATTTATTAAAAAAAAAAAAAAAAAAAAAACATACATTAGGAACAGATTTAATGGTCGTCTACACATAATAATCAACTATAAAAGACCGTAATCGAGAAACAGGCTTACTTGAATAGTTTTCCTGAAGTTCTTTGGATCTTCTTGATCTTCAAAAGGATATGCTCCGACCAGCATAACATAGAGCGTTACGCCACACGACCATACATCAGCCAACTGTACGAAAAAAAAAATGCATACACGTAGATTTTTATTAAGGGAAAAAATCGAGGCTTGAAAACGAAGCTAAAAAGAGTTACCTTTGCACAAACCAGATAAAATAATTTACCGAATACATTCGCAATCATTAAAAATCATCGACGATCTCACCTTTCCGTCGTATTCTCTCCTGGATAGAACTTCGGGAGCAATATAAGCAGGAGTTCCAACGGTTGATTTGGGCCTCGAATGAAGTAGAGATGACTAAGAAACGGGAAAAAGGAAATAATTAAAAATTAAAAAAATGGCAAGTACATTTCGAGTAACCGAGAAGAAATTCAGACATACGTGCTCTAACCTTTGAGTAACCAAAATCGCAGATTTTCAGGCGTGGAGCAGGGCTTCCATCAAGAAGAGTGTTCTCCAGTTTCAAGTCGCGGTGGCATATTTGCTGCAAATCGACGAGCAATTAAAGAAAACATAATTTCAACAAAAAAAATTAATTAATTAATTAATTAAAATGTAACCATATATGTGTGCTGACCATGGCATGGCAGTAGTTGACTCCAGAAATAAGCTGCTGGAAGAAGTACCTAGACTGAAAATACAGCGAAGAAATACCGATCAAAAACTCGACGCGTAAACTACTATTTAATTCCCATTTTATGAATAAAACATGGTGTAATAATATTAATACCTCATCTTCGCTCAATCGACCGGCAGGGCAGATTCTCTCGAACAGCTCTCCGCCTGCCGCATACTCCATGACAATGGCTGGATGCATCGGCGTCTGTTCTAGCGATAAGAACATATATCCGAAGCCAACACATGTTAGAGTCTAATGATTCACACACACACACACAAACAACACACACACACAAACACACACACATGTTGATGGAAAAACCTTGTGTCCTCTTTCAATGTATTTCATGGCGACGAGCTCTTTGGTCTCCTTGTTTCTCATAAGCCTAGCAACACCAAAATTTCCAGACCCTATATCCTTCACAAGTTCGTATTTATCCATTTTTTTTTTCTTTCAGATCAATCTCCTTAAACTGAAGCCCACCAGATAATATCCCACAAAATTCTATTTCAAGAAATCAAAAAGGGCCAAACTCCAAAAACTAAAGATTCAATCTTTATTGATACTCCTCAAACAAACTTATCAATCTTCAAAAGGGATCCCATCGATTCGGCAATTTAAAAAAAAAAAAAAAAAAAAAAAAAAAAGAAACTAATTCTGGAAAAATACAAGTAATTAAAGGTGCGAATAAGGCGATGATCCAAATTGGCAAGAGGGGATTCAGAAAAGATGCTATCTTTCTACAGAAATCGAAATGGGTTTTCTCTCTTCTGAGTGGGGAACAGAAAAAATAAAGAGATGTGATTTCATTTCATATCTGGGATTTGAAGAAAAAGCAAATTCGCATTTGCTATAGTGGCTTTGTCGACAACTGTGTGTGTTGTTTGTCGACAACTGTGTGTGTTGTGTGCATGCGGAAGAGAGATTCGTATGGGAAGAATTGCAGATTACTGCTACTTTTTTTTTTAATGATTAAATAAAAAAATATGCAGAAAAAAGGAGGAGAATTTTGGGGGAGTAAATATATATTTATTGCAAGTTGGGGAAGAAACAGAATAAAGAAAGAAGGAACAGAATTGCGTTTTGATTTTGGTTGAGAGTGATTGATGTGCCCCAATCAGTTCTTTTTCATTTTTTTACCATCTATTTTTATTAGTGGTAAAAAGAAAAAAGATGAAAAAAATGTATGCTATATTTAGTTTTTTTTTTTTTACTTAAATTTTTATTTATTTTATTTCATTTAATTTTTTTTATGATAAATTATTGATCTTGTATTCATCCATTGCAAATTAAGTGATGTTTATTTTTTATTTTTAGGGAACTAGTTAAGTGTTGTTAATCCAAATATTAAAAAAAAAACTAATAAATATAGGATGTGACTAAAATTGTGATTCTCACTCGTCTATGATTATTAATATTTGAAATGATTTATGAAATAATAGAAGACAAATTTGAAGGAGGTAATTAATACATCATTGATATTATAAAGTTGCAAATAATATGGAATGTATTTTTTTTTTTTAGAGACGTGCTAGTTCGCCTTTCAAAATATCTTATTTCGCTACTAAATTACATATATTTTCTATTTTACGCATTTATTTCTCTTTCACCCACATCTCGTACAAATTCGTAAATTATCCACTATCAAACTAATTAGAATATTCAAAAAAAAAAAAAAAAAACTCTACCCATTTTTCACTAGAATTTTACATCCCACCATCTCCATCTTAAATGAAGGGTTCCGTCAAAAAAAGAGCATGAAATTCACGTTCTTAGAGAAATAAATTTAGAGCATGTGTAGGGAAAAAAATGCAAATATTTTTTTGGTGAATTAAGATTTGAAAATAGGTACATTTCATCAATGCAAACTACTTCAAATTGGACGATGTTATAATATTAGTTACCTTTTTTATCTCATCTTTTGGAACTTTCACCATTTCCTCCCTATACACTCACTTATGGGAAAGACGGCCGTATGGTGAGCTTTCGACGACGGTTTTCGGCGAAAGGCGGTGAACAGATGACATACATGGTGGATAAATGTTTGTGGTGAAGTACTATGAATAATTTGGTGGAGTTGAAATAAATGTATCCAAAAGAATATTGATATAAATAATCGGGTCAATTTAATGGGACTACAATTCTTTTATTTACTCGGCTACACATCAAATATTGAAGATCGCTAACACCGAGATTCAATCACCTTTAAGTAAGGTTTGAGTCCGACAATCTCAACTAATGTATAAATAAATCTTTGAACTCATTCCTTCGTCCTATTATCTGAGCAATAGTACCAACTATATTCTCTGAACTATTTCCACTATCCGCACATCTAACTTGAGCGTCGGAGGGGTTTCCACCGGATCAACCCCGGCCTAGTTCACGTGTTCTATGATCGCAGGTATCTCAAGGTCATCAACCTCGTGAGCCAGTAATTCACTCTGCTCTTCCAGCTCATCCTATCTCAACTCCCTAAGGTGATATATCTCTAGTATCATCGATTATATATCATTAGAACCCAAAATTATAATAGAGAGTTGATTAAATTAAATATAAAGCCAATGCACCACTATAATTGTAACATCATTGATATGCCTAATTGGGCCAACCCAATGGGCCTACAATTTCTTTACCTACTGGGCTACGAGCCCAATATCGAAGACCAATATCACCGAGGCCCAAACACCTTCAAGTAAGGCTTAGGCCCAACAAAGCAAACCCAACCCAATAAACGACATATAAATAGAGGTTTTACTCATTTTATTAAGGTACGTCCTATTAACTGAGCAATACTACAATACGTATTCTCTGGACTATTTTCTATGATCAGCACGTCTGACTTGAGCGTCGGAGGGGGTTTCCGCCGGGATCAACCCCCGGCTTAGTTCATGTGTTCTATGATCGCAGGTACCTCAGGATCATCAAGTTGTCAAGCTACTGATCCGCTTTGCTCTCCCATTCATTCTACACTACCCCAGATGATCTACATTTTAGCATCATCAATCATCTTATAATGTTATTTAGTATTTACACTAATATTTAAGGATCATCTAAAAAAGTTTAACACAGAAATCAATATTCACGCGAAATAGAAATCATTTTACATCAATAAGTAAATTAAATTAAATAAAGTAGATGGGCCGACTACAAAACGAAGAGCCCATCAGTTGGACACAAGCCATGAGTTGGCCCATCAACAGAAGATTTATCGACTACACTTTTAACATTTTTTATTTGTTTTTAATTAATAATCAAGTTTAGTTAGGGGTAAGAACTGGAACGAATTTTTTGGTTTATGTCGATTTCGATCCGAATATTTCCAAATTCAGAACACTCCTTTTCAATCGAATGTAGATTTTTTTGAAATATTTTGAATTAGAATTGGAATATATATGATATTTTGGTTTCCAATCTGATTTTAATTTTCCTAAAATCATTCCGAAATTTATGTCGAAAAATTACACTTGTAATATCAAAATTCTCTTTTATTTGACATTTTAAGTTCCTAAGAACTGGAATTTTCCAATTTTGGAACACGCTTTTTCTTTCAATTTCCGATTTCTCCGTTTAGTTTTTTGAACGCAATTTAAATTACTATTTCACTTCCGAAGAAATCAATTTTTTTTTTTTAAAATAAGTGTTAATTCTGATCCGATCAAATTCGTCCGATTTTCCACATTCAATGACATAATCATAACATATTTACATTACCACCCAAATTGAACAGTGGTCTCTAAATCTTACTCCTACAACATTTCCAAACCCAGTCAGGCCCATTGTTAAGCCCATATATAGCTTGGGCCCGATCATATATTTAATATTTGTTTGGTTATATATCGTATTTCCAATATAGAGCATGTGATAATTAAATAGTTATTATATTAAATAATTAATAAATAAACACCTACCCAAAAAATACACCCACTCACTAGAACCAAGTAAGAAATGGGAGGCCCAAAAATGGAAGAGAGGGAGCAAATACACCCAGTGATGATAAAATGATAAAACGAACCATAAGATCTCGACACGTGGCGGATAAATCCCCTCCCCTCCACACTATTTCCACAAGCCCTCTTCATTTATCCACCGAAACCCTCAACACACATAAATTAAACCAAAATTCTCTCACATCCAAAATTCTCTCAATCCAAAGAAATTAAAAAAAGATGGCGAGCCTCTCCAGCACAATGTTCAGCACCGCCATGCTCCCCCGCAAGCCGGCCGCGGCGGCGGTGGTCTCCCTCCCCAGTTTCAAGCAGGCGGCGCTCTTCGGCCTGAAGTCCGCACCCTCCCGCCTCACCTGTATGGCGACGTACAACGTGACGCTCATCACCCCCGAGGGTGAGGTCGTGTTCCCCTGCGACGACGACGTTTACATCCTAGACCAGGCGGAGGAGGCCGGTTACGATCTGCCGTACTCTTGCCGCGCCGGATCCTGCTCCTCGTGCGCCGGAAAGGTGGTCAAGGGCGCCGTTGACCAGTCCGACGGAAGCTTCCTGGAAGACGAACAGATGGAGGAGGGGTGGGTGCTCACCTGCGTCGCCTACCCTACCGGCGACGTCGTCATCGAGACCCACAAGGAGGAGGAGCTCACTGCCTAATTACTTTCTCTCTCTTCAACTTTTTTAATAATGCTTTTTTTGAGTGTTTTATTTTCTCTCTCTACTATAATTTGTTATTGGAACAAACAATTTATATTTCTAATATTTATTATGGTTATGTTGGATGAATTGAATTGACCGGCATAAGTTTCTTATTTTTTTTTTTAATTTTCATCAGCATTATGAATTATCATGGTCATGGTTCATGTTCATACATGAAAGTTTACTTTCTTTATTTTTTCCTTTAAAAAAACTAGTATTTTTCTGATAATGTTTTAAAAATGAAATTTATAGATTTAGTAGAGCAAACTCATTACAATACTATTTAAACTAAGCAACCTCCCTAGGTAATGGTTAGCCTGGTTAGGATTATCTTAACCCGATGGTTGTGATTTACGTACTATAACTATTTATAAAAGTATACATATGTTTCGAATAAATTTAATATCTCAAATATTTTTCTAATAGAAACTTAGACAATTTTTTTAGAATATTGTCCAAATAGACCGCTCATTCTAGAATACGGATTAGCTGCTCTAGAACTTGTAGAATATGGATTCGAGCTGCGCGATGAAGATCTAAGCAACTTGATCTTTGGATTAATCGACTTAATTTCGCTCTGCATTCTTGAAATATAGTATTTTGATACTTAACATCCTTAAAATAAATTAATAACACTTTATACCCTCGAAAGACAATAAATGATGCATATAATGCACCCCCGAATTAATTTTTAAAGTTAGTAAATATATTTTTATATTTTTAGCGGTATTTTATTAGGATGCCAAATGTAAATCATTTTTTTTCTTCATAAAATATTTTGAAACTATAAAGCGCAAAAAAAATAAAAAGAATCTCATCAACATATTTAAAAATTACATTATCACAAAAAGATATTTTACAACAAAAGCTATTTCGTTATCATATTTTCTTCTAAATATTTTTACTAATATTTCCACTAATTACAATGAAGATATATAATCGAATAATTTAGTGATATAAATTTATTTTATTTAATTTTGTAAGAAAATATAATTTTTTATTTTGCACCCGAAAAAAGAAAAGCCAATAAAAAATGAAATTGCTTTTATTATTCAATTCAAGTGCACTGTCAATGATTTAATCGAATATAAATATAATTTAATTTGATTTTTAATCTTATTATTTCCAAATATGCAGACCGACCCGAACCGCGACTGAACAACCCGAAAAATCCAGCTTCCATATTACAAATGAGTTATCATTTCTAAAACCCCCAAAACCCTAGTCCTCAATCTCTCTCTTCGCCACCACCGACCACCATCGCCGATGGCCTTCCATTGCCTCCGCCTCCGCCGTGTTCTTTCTGTATCCTCTTCCCTCCTCCACCACTCTCTTCATCAACCGAAACCAATCTCGACAATCTCCTCTCATCTTCTTTCCGCCCCCACCGCCACTGCCACCTCCGCCGTCATCCCTTCATCCGCTCAATTGGCGCGGCCGTTCACTTCGACAACCACCCTCTTCCGCAAGACATTCGATCCCGAGACCGATGAAATTGGGCCCGACACTATCCTCTTCGAAGGATGCGATTACAACCACTGGCTGATCACCATGGATTTCCCCAAGGACGCCAATATCACCCGCGATCAAATGATCGAAACCTACGTCAACACGGCTGCCCAAGTCTTCGGCAGGTCGATAAACCCTCGCCCTTCATATTAATTTTTGTTATGTATATGCGATTTTCTCTTTGCTTGTGAATTTCTTCGGAAAAAATGCTGTATACCTAACTGTGAACACATTTTTTGAGGAAAATAAGGTTCTAATCTAATTTTGCTAGTATTAGTCTCGATGGGGTTTACGGTTTACCTGCCTATGTTGTTATATATCATTTTTCTTTACACGGAGTGCGCGAAGGGGTAAGGCATTCGATGCGTATACATTCGGACATATTTTGCATTTCGTTGCTGAGATATATGCTCAAGGATTATATGGTTAGGATTTCGATAGATTTTGTAATTTGCATTTGGTTTCTTAAGAATATGCTCTGTTTGTTTTTGTTTTCTTTTCCTTAATTCTTACAAAAGTTAATTATTTTTTAGTTTTCGATTTGAAACGATTACTCTGGACATTGGATTTGATAGTGAGAATCATTGTCTTTTGGGCCAAGGAGATCTATTATGAATATATTGAAATTTATTGCACTTTCGTTTTGTTTTTACTAAGATTTCCTATGTTATTTGCTTTCTATTCTTTTTCCCTTTTCCATTTTCTAGCTCGATTGTGGCAGTCAATTTGTTTTCTCAAATGTCCGTATTAGGTTTCTAGGCTCAACCAGTGTAAAGTGCACTTTACGCCACACAATATGGGATGAAAAACTTAGTATATTTAGGGGAAAACCAGAATATTGGGTTTTCATTTCTCTCAAATTGTATTGAATGCTTTCGTGCAACAAATTGAACACGAAAGGCTATTTATGTTTTAGGAATGATAAAAAAACAGAAGGTTACGCAGCGGAAGACCGCATTCTTTGATTTGATTCTATAACCGGAAAGTAAAGTAGAGAGTTGGAAGTGTTTTCAATGATTTCTAATCTTGAAATTTTACTCTGTTAGGGTAAAGTTAAAATGGGATATTCTGGAATCTGCAATATACCTATTCTTACTAGAATACCTTACGATGTCTGTTTCACTCTATTATATCGTTGATTCCAAAAGCAAAAATTTTCGTAAGACTGTTGGATTTTGAAGGTATAAATTAATTGAACTTTTGAATTGCTAGAGATAAGAGAAGAGACAATTACCGTGGATTATTGGGCTCTTATTAGATTAAGAAATTTTCCTCTCGTTCATAGTATTTCATTTTGGCTATGGCTGCGTATTTGGTGTTGTATGAATTTTGTTGAACCCAGAGAGCTCGTAAATTTTTTGGGGTTGGGCATGACGAGGAATCATTTAATGTTAAAATGGTTCAAAGAAGGCAACAAGAAATTGGAATTGGTTATCCTTTATTATTTTTGGTTTTGTTGAGTTTATAAGCCAACAGTTTGCTGTGAACTGTTTGTCCATCTAAGTTTTTTCATCCTAAAAGTATTTTTATCTTGTTGTTATCACTTGAGTTAGTTGGGGCTTTATAGAAATGCCAAGTATTATACATTTATACTGACTTCTCTGTACTTGCATGCTTTTTAGTGTGGAGTCTGTTGTGTGTTGTAGTTTGTGTGTAAATTTACAACTTACAACTTACAAGTGCAGCTTTATTATTGACATGGGAACCTTGATCTTCAACTTAATTTTTCTGTTTGATTAACTTTTGTTCAGTGTGGAAGAGGCAAAGAAGAAAATATACGCACTAAGTACAACAACATATCAAGGTTTTCAGGTTCTGTGTGATGAGGACACGTCTAAAAAGTTTGAGGGTATGTGTTCATCTTTGCTTTCGTGATAACTACACATTACATTACGAATTTATAACCAGTATTCACTCTGAAACTTTTTGCTGTCACTAGGTAAGCCAGGAGTTGTATTTATTTTGCCAGATTCGTACATTGATCCAGCAAACAAGGAATATGGAGGTTAGATATTTTCAGTCAGTTCTTATCACAAAGTTGACTGTATGACTGCGTTTTTTTTTGGTGTTGAATTGAAGTCTGGTTTTGGAAATGGGCTGTTAAATTGCAGGAGACAAGTACGTCAATGGAGAAATTTTTCCTAGACCACCCCCAGTTCACTATGGTAGACGTAACAACAATAGACCCCCTCAGCAAAACTATGGCCGACAACAACAGCAAAACTACGGGCCTCCACCACAACAAAACTACGGGCCTCCACCACAGCAGAACTATGCCCCTCCAGCTCAGCAGAATTATGGCCTTCCACCTCAGCAGAGCAACGGGCCTCCACCTCAGCAGAATTATGGCCCTCCACCTCCGCGGAACTATGGCCCACCACCTCAACAGAACTATGGCCCACCACCACAACCACGTCAAAACTACGGGCCAACACAGCAGAGCTATGGACCTCCCCCACCAAGGCCTAATCAAGACTACGGACCTCCACCACAACAGAGCTATGCGCCGCCACCTCAGCAAAGTTATGGGAACATTCCAAATTCCCCGCCTCAACAAGGTTATAATCCACCGGGACTAGGGGAAGGAAGAGGCCCTATGCCGCCAAATAATGCTTCGGGACATGGTGAAAGAAATCCAATGCCTTCTTATCAGGGTAACTTCAATCAAGCAGAGCCGCCGGTGAACCATTTTGCTCAAGGGCAGAGAGATTTCCAACAGAGCCATATGCCACACGAGCAGAAGGCATTTTCGCAAGATGCTGGTTATGGACCTTCACAAGGGGGACAGAGGAACTTTTCATCCGTGCGAAATGATTGATCAAGTGAGATAGTTTTTATCCTTCATTTCTCTTTGTTGCATTCTCTTAACTCTTAAGCACATTGATCACGGTTGAAGTTTCACATGAAGGTTTATGTTTGTTGAACCACTACATTTTCCGTTACTCTGACAGTAGGAATCAGTCATTTGTTGAACTACTACATTTTCTTATCACGAATGATTTATTGTTGGTTTTTAGTTTGCATATAATTTTTTCTGTTTGTTTTGTCTTTCGGTCTGATCTCTGCTTTCTCCGACTTTGTTACAACTTACAATCTCTAAAGCATAAGCATATATATGCACGTCACTGTGGTCGTGCATCTGCTAGTGTTCTCTCCCCGTGAGCTAAATATTTCTAGTATAGCAAACTTTGAACATAAATGAATTGGATAAAAAATATAAAACCGAAAATCTTACGAGTCAACCACACAAGATAGATAATGCCGCCCTACCAGTCAGCCCTGTAGTTTCTTTGTCTCAATGCCCGTGTGTTGACTATTTTAGATTGGATAAATCATGTAATTCTCGTTCTTGTTTTAACTTATGTTCTTGTTGCATTTGCATAGCTACTGCGAAATAAGGTGTGGGTTAGTAGTTTTTGATTTATTTCGCGGGTACATGTTGCCAATTTTCCCATGTCTTCGTTAAATCTATAATGTGTTCGAGGCACTTTGATTAGTGATGGTTTAATGAGTAGATGATTGCTGATATTTCTTTTTTTGCTCATAATACAGGTTATATATATGTATCAAGAAGCAGTTTTTACTTTGAGATATTAATTTACTGCAAGAACGATGGCTGCTCGTTTTCTGAGATGTGCTTAGTTTGGCTTACTCGACTTTTTCAAACCTAGAAATAATAGGAGGAGCATCTGCAGAGTCACTACTAAAGGATTGGCTTGTACCATTTGGGTTTATATGTTGAAAAAGCCTATCAACTTTTATTGTAATGGTAAATAAGTATTTTTATTGCCTAGTTTTTTTTCGAATTGGAATCTTAGCACGGACTTGGAGTTTGAACACGCCTCTACGATTTTACTGCATTTATCGCTTCTCGAGGTGGTTTTATCTGTCGATAACTGAATTTGAGAGGATGTGATTTTTTTTATTTAGCTCTTTTTAGTTGAATTTAGAAGATATTATATATTAAATTATTTTTAAGTTTTTCTTTCTCTGCCTTTGGATAGTGGCTTCCTTTTATCGTTTATATTCTATGGTTTTATAAATGTACGACTTTTAGTGAATATCGGACACTTCAAAGGAAAAAAGTTCAAAATTTTCCGGCAACTATTTCAACAACATTATTAACCAACAACAAATATATGTTTTGTTGAATTGGGAGCTTAATTCGGATGAAGTTGGAATAGATATACAACTTTTTGTCGCACATTGTGCATTAGTTTGAGTTCAAAAAATGTGCAATTGCGTTTCAGTCAAGTGCATATTGCCATATTTTCGTTTGGTTATGAGTAGCCGTTATTCGCGTCTAAATTTTATTGAAGATAAGTTATATTGTGAAGGCGGAATTGCCTTTTTTTTTTTTTTTTTTTTTTTTTTTGTGGTTGTAAACGAGAACGTTCGAGACTTCGAGAGATGACAATAGATGGCACATCGTTAAAAATTAAAATTGAAGAATTGTCCGATATTTACCAAGATTATCTTGGTAATTAACTATACCCTTTAACCAATACTTAGGTTATTACTCAAAAAAAAAAACCAATACCTAGGTTGATAAGTGTTTAATTATAGTTGGGCTATTCCAGTTTCATTTTCGTTTAAATTTTGTTTCCATTTGCATTTTCGTTTAAAACATGGGTTAATGTTAATGTGTTGCTTTGATTAGATTATTTGTCAAAACTCTTTGTCCAAGTTCTCAGTCATCAAATGACCGCATAGCGCAGTGGATTAGCGCGTCTGACTTCGGATCAGAAGGTCGTGGGTTCGACTCCCACTGTGGTCAATGTTTTTGCTATGATTAAATTACGAAACCCCCCTCTTGTTTGGATAATTACAACCACCCCTGAGGTATGGTCAAATTACGAAAATATTATCAACTTTTATGATCGGCTTTAAATTTAGTGGAATCTTCGAGATTATATGGAATATTATCAACTTTTATACCTGTTTTATCCGATTGGAACTTCACATTTTGAAGCAAGATGATCATACGAGATTACATAGAATATTATCAACTTTTATACCCATTTTATCCGATTCGAACTCCACATTTTGAAGCAAGTTGCTCATAATATGTGTTTTTTTGGCTTGTATATTTACGGCTTTAACGATTCGAACTCCACATTTCGAAGCAAGATGACCATAATATGTGTTTTTTGGCTTGTATATATGAGATTGTGGTGCATCAGAAACTGTATTTTTACACAATACGACTACAAACTAGAGCACATTCCACGAATCTAGATGATTATGTTGAATTTGACACCATAATGGTAGATGTGTAAGAAAAAAACATAGTTGATGGTTAGATGTAATTATCCAAACGAGGGGTTTTTTCGTAATTTACCCTTCTTACTTATTTGCTCCTTTTTATAAAATTAAATTCGAATTACCGTTTCTTTTTGCCTTCTGCTGTCTTTTTCTTTTTCCTTCTTAAAAGAGAAAAAAACGAATTAATATATTTTTTTTTAAATTAAAAGAAAAAATGAAAACATTATAAAATCTAAACTCACACTAAAACCCCAGAAAGAAAACAGGCATATTCCATACACCCCCGACAATGAGCTAATTTTATTTTTAGCAGCATCTCCCAATTAGGGCTTTTCTCCACAAAAAAAATCAAGTTTCGTACCCTCCATTTTCCCCCCAATTCTGGCGCAGGTGGATGTAAATCACTCGCCGTAAAGTAGTTTCGGCATTTGAATTTGTTCGGATTTCTTCATTAAAATGGCTTCCACCGGACAACCAGCTTCTTCATTAAAGAGAGCTTCGTCCACTTCCAGTGAAGGCGACGAGCTTATAATAACACCCCTCGGCGCCGGAAACGAAGTCGGCCGCTCCTGCGTTCACATGTCTTACAAGGGCAAAACTGTCATGGTACGCCATTTTTTAGGGGTTTCTAATTTTTAATTTTTTTTTTTATTTGTGTTTCTTCGTTTAGTAGTTGTTGAACTGTTTGATTATATGAATTGTTTAATCGTGTTTTCCTTTTTTTGTTTCGATTTAGTTTGACTGCGGTATTCACCCTGCTTTCTCCGGCATGGCTGCATTGCCTTACTTTGATGAAATTGACCCTTCCGCTATCGACGTTCTTCTTGTTACCCAGTACGTTTTCTTTTTCCGCCTTTGTTTGTCGTATTTCTTAAGTGTTCTTGTTTAGTATGTTGTTTCTTAACTGTGTTTTTGTAATATATATATTTAATTTGGAGCAACTCTAGTGTATCGTCAAAATGGTGGTGTATTAACGACCATTTTGATGTTCGTAAAATTAACAACCATTTGATGCCTATAATTGGAGCAAATGAATTTTATAAAGGTAGCGATAAACTAACCATGAAATGGACATTTCATAGCGATACACATAGTTGGAGCAAATGAAATTTATAAAATGAATATTTGATACTATAGTTTGGAGTTGCTCTTATATGCCTCCTGCCCTCGAAAAAGTTGGAAACTGAAATTATGAAATGGCCCTGCATCTAAGACGGATATCCTTCCATTCTTCTTTTATTTTTAACGAGGCCCTTTTGAGCGAACATTTGTGGTAGTAGATTGATGGATGACATTTTTGAAGTTCTGTTGCAAAGAGAAAGTCGGGATGCTGATCCACACAGTTTTCGAGAGATTACAAATTGCTCTTGAGCTATACAGACTGATTGGGGATTGACGTTGTGATTTTAGTTCTTGTGTTCAAAATTAGAAATTATGTTAGTGATCCTTTTTTCCCCGGTACTTTAGTGGCTACATACAGTGTTCGTATATTATTCATCGAAGAGAATATTTTAGGCAACAGATTTGGTTCTCTGAACTAGTGTCTATTAAGTTCTTAATTATCTTTCAAATCACGAAGAAGTGCCTTTTAGGGAGAAAAACATACAATAGTGATCTTATGATTGAAATCTTGGATAAAATGTATTATTGCTTTCATCTCGTTCACTACTTTGACTCGGTTATTTAACACTCTTGCTTGAAGCCATGCATTTGGGCAGCTAGAATTGAAAGCAACCAGATAGTCTTTACTTCCGATTCTTGCTTGCCTTTTTTTCTTACACACGCTTATATCACTTTTCTGCAGCTTTCACTTGGACCATGCTGCTTCGCTTCCATATTTTCTGGAGAAGGTTTGTTCCTTTGAGCATGACCTTCTAAGTTGCTCATGGGCTTAACTAACCCCTCCATTTTGTGTTCAGACCACTTTCAGAGGACGGGTTTTTATGACTCATGCAACCAAAGCTATTTACAAGTTGCTTCTATCAGATTACGTTAAAGTCAGCAAGGTCTCAGTTGAAGATATGTTATACGACGAACAGGACATACTTCGCTCCATGGATAAAATCGAGGTTTGTTTATTTACTCATATTTGAATGTACTTCCTATCTGTTTGCTTCAATGTGCTTCGTATTTGTTCTCCAGGTTATTGACTTCCACCAGACACTGGAGGTAAACGGGGTCCGCTTCTGGTGCTACACTGCGGGCCACGTCCTGGGTGCTGCCATGTTCATGGTGGACATAGCCGGAGTCCGGGTCCTCTATACCGGAGACTACTCCCGCGAGGAGGACCGCCACCTCCGCGCCGCCGAGCTCCCCCAGTTCTCGCCGGACGTCTGCATCATCGAGTCAACCTACGGGGTCCAGACCCACCAGCCCCGCCACATACGCGAGAAGCTCTTCACTGACGTCATCCACTCCACTGTCTCCCAGGGCGGCCGCGTGTTAATTCCCGCTTATGCCCTCGGCCGAGCCCAGGAATTACTCCTCATACTCGACGAATACTGGTCCAACCACCCGGAGCTCCACAACGTCCCCATATACTACGCCTCCCCTTTGGCCAAGCGGTGCATGGCCGTCTACCAGACCTACATCAACTCCATGAACGACAGAATTCGTAACCAGTTCGCCAATTCGAACCCGTTCGACTTCAAACATATCTCCCCCTTGAAAAGCATCGACGAGTTTCGCGATGTGGGCCCCGCAGTGGTCATGGCCAGCCCGGGTGGGCTCCAGAGCGGGCTCTCGAGACAGCTGTTCGATAAATGGTGCTCGGATAAAAAAAACGCGTGTGTTATACCTGGTTATGTTGTAGAAGGCACTATGGCGAAGACTATTATAAACGAGCCGAAGGAAGTTACTCTTGCGAGTGGTTTGACTGCTCCTCTCAACATGCAGGTTCACTACATTTCATTTTCAGCCCACGCGGATTATATTCAAACGAGCACGTTTCTGAAGGAGCTTATGCCGCCGAATATAATATTGGTCCACGGTGGATCGATCGAAATGGGAAGGCTCAAGCAGAAGCTGGTCTCGCTCTTTGCAGACGGCAACACGAAAATCATAACTCCGAAGAACTGCCAGTCGGTGGAGATGCACTTCAACTCCCAGAAGACGGCGAAAGCTATCGGAAAGCTGGCAGCAAAGCCGCCAGCCGCCGGAGAAACGGTTAGCGGCTTGCTCGTCAAGAAAGGGTTCACCTATCAGATAATGGCGCCGGAGGATCTCCATGTCTTTTCTCAACTATCCACGGGTAATGTTATCCAGAGGATCACAATCCCTTATTCTGGTGCCTTTGCTGTGATAAAACACAGGCTTAAACAGATATACGAGAGTGTGGACCCCACAATCGACGAGGAATCTGGGGTCGAGGCTCTGAGGGTGCACGAGAGGGTTACGGTGAAGCGGGAGTCGGAGAATCACGTCTCGCTGCACTGGGCGGCGGACCCCATTTCCGATATGGTGTCGGATTCGGTGGTGGCTTTGGTTCTGAACGCGAGTAGGGATTTGCCTAAGGTGGTAGTGGAGTCTGAGGAGACGGGCGGTGAAGAGGCGGCAAAGAAAGGGGACAAGATTGTGCACGCGCTTCTCGTTTCTCTGTTTGGGGATGTGAAGTACGGCGGGGAGGAGGGGAAGGTGGTGATAAATGTGGACGGGAATGTGGCCCACCTCGATAAACGCAGCGGCGAGGTGGAGAGCGAGAACGAGGGGCTTAAGGAACGTGTTAGGACGGCTTTCCGGAGAATCTCCGGTGCCGTTAAGCCGATACCTCTTCAAGAATCTTAGTACCTCTAACCTCAAAAAGTTGTAATCTTTTTCTTATGTACGAACACTTTCTGCCTGATTTTAACTTCAATTATCTTTATACATTTTGGTTGAAGGTCCAGTTAAATATTTGACAAATGACTTAATTTTTCTTATCTTATGCGCTGACGTGGCAGTATGTCAATTTCTTTGTTCAATTATGCAATGGGTACTAAAATGTGTACCAGAATTTTTCCCACCCAATTTAAGGAAAACGAAATGCACCCAATTTATTATTATCAATTGATTTTCTTTTAATTGATTTTCCAGAATTGGATTTCATTTTTCCAATTTGAAAAAAATAAATAAATATATTTATGCTCCTTCCGGGCAAAAATCCAATGAGGTGCAACGGAAATTTCACATCCACCCTCAATTCACACAATTCCTCCATCCCCAACTTTCTCTCTCTTCTCACTTTCTCTCTCTAACACACACATCACACACGCAGACCTCGCCCTGAAGCATTGTTCACACGAGAGATAGCCCCAAAAATTGATATCGGCGTTTTCTCGGAGTGATTGATCAGTGGCTTTCAGCCTTATTTAGGGAGGATCTAGGGTTTCTTTTTTCCCTCGATTACCAAGTGGAGATTTCAGCTCTCTACACGGAGAGGTAAGAGATTTTCTTCTGCTGCGATTTGTTTTCGTTTTTATAAAAGCATGCGACGAGGTAAAATTTTGGATTTCAGCTCATTTGTAATAATTAAAATAAAAAAAAAAAATGATTAGGCTCTGTCGCTTTGTTTGATTACATCTTTCTGCAAATTCGATTTGATTGTTTGTTGTTTGTCTGTTATTATTTCTGATTTGCTGCCGCAATCAGATTTGTTTGTTTTTTTTTTATTCTCGCCTTGTACTAATTTATTTAACTGAATTGAGAAGTGTTTAATGTTGGTACATACGGCTTACATTTGACATTTGTGCTTACCTGATGGTTTCCTTAGTCAAATATGTATTAGTGGATTTCAGAGTATGAAGGAGATAAGGGCCGTTTGGTTATCTGATATGGTTCCATAACGGTGCTTGACGGATGGTAGTAATGTTTTATTTGTCAAGGAGATAAAATTGCTTCTTTCTTTTTTTGTCTTTGTTTATTTATCTGTTTGTCATCCAGAAGTTTGTTGGAAGTTGACATGTGTTTTTGCAACATTGAGCGTCACAATTGCTAAGATCATGCCCATATAAGTGATGTGTCGTAAATGAATTGTGGCGGATCATGGTTTGGTTTCATGATTTTAAGATATATGCCACCCTAGATATCTTTAATGTTGTTTGATTCTGTAACTGAATATTTTCTAAGTTTCTTCATAAATTAGCATTTAGAGCTCAAAGATCGCAAATCTTACCCGTTTTCCATTTGTTTTGGGAGTTTAGGAATGAAGAGGACGGCATACTACAGTGCTGTACCTCAATTGCAGGACCAGTGGCCTATAAAGAAAGCGTTAACATTTTCCGATGTTGACATCACCCATCCTTTTCTTACGTTGTCACGGCAGCAAGTTGAAACACATATTATGGTGTACATGACACCTCAGCAGCAGGAACATTTAAGAGGCGAAGGTCAAGTGGGGTTTAATGCACAGGATGATGATACGGGTGAAATGTCTGTGATGAAACTAAAATGGCGTGGGAGCTATTATAATCTCATTGGAAAGTGGGGAAAAGTTGTCCGAGAAAAGGGACTCGAAGTTGGGCAGGAAATTAAACTACGATGGTTGAACGGTTGCTTACACTTCTCGGTTCCACAAAATCAGATTGTAACAATGCCACCACCAATCAGAATGATTGCAGCACCCCTAGCGCACGACCACTGGCCTATTAGAAAGGTCTTGACATCGTCTGATGTTGACCCTAATCACCCCTTTCTTCCGTTGCCTCGTAAAACGGTCGAAGAGCATATTCTAGTGCATTGGGTGCCCCAAGAAAGGGAAAGACTGAGGAAGGAGGAGCAGGTGTCGATTAATGCTCGAGACTATGATTCGGGCGATACTCATGGCATGAAATTGAAGTGGCGAGGGAATTATTACAACCTCATTGGGAAATGGGGGACCATAATTAGGCATAAAGGACTTGGTGTTGGGCAAGAAATCAGAATACGGTGGACGAACGGTTGCTTGTATTTCTCTGTCCCGGACGAACGGTTTGTGGCTGCAGCGTCTGGACATGATAACTGGCCGATCAAGAAAGCTCTCACTTTGTCAGACGTGGATACGAATCATCCGTTCCTTACTTTGCCTGGTAAAGCAGTGGAAGATCATATTCTCTTCTACTGGACACATCAAGCTCGGGAGCAGCTGAGGGATGAACATCAAGTCGGTGTAAATGCACGTGATGGAGATACGGGCGATGTGTATGTAATGAAGTTGAAATGGCGTGGCAGTTATTATAATCTGATTGGTAAATGGGGCAAAATCATTAGAGAAAAGAGGCTACAGGTAGGGAGAGAGATCAGAGTACGCTGGGATAATGGATGCTTGATCTTCTCAGTTCCTCAATGACCGTGCCCTTTTTTATGCAGATATAGGTATAATTTTTCACCCCATCTAAAATAGGTTCTTTATTTAATAAAATTGCAAATTGTATAGTGTACTTTTGTTTCTGATTTTTGTGATGGTTTGCCTGTCAAAATACACAAGTCATTTTTTCCAGGGCGCGGTAGTGACTAGTGCCATATTTTTGAATGACTTTGCAGAGTCGTTACTGAAAATTTTCAACTTTGGGTCATTCGTGGAGTTTATGAGTGCATGCGATAACTTTGCTTCATATATGGAGTTATGAGTGTTAGTTATAACTTTGGATCGCTTATGGAGTTTACGAGCGCATGCTATAACTGTGGTTCAGATGATGGAGTTATGAGTGCTAATTTTTGTCCGTTAACTTTATTCACCTTCCAATTTTACTTTGAAACTGCCCGCCTTTTTTTTTTTTTTTTTTTTTTAAAACTTGATGGTGAACCTGCTTTTGTTGAAGCATATCCTGATTATACTGCATTATTAAGTGGTGTTTGTCTTGGATTTAGCCTTCTTTAGTCCTAGCAAGTACGATTTAGATTTATGCTTGTAGTTCTTCTTTACGGCTACTTTACTTTTATATGTAACTTTTAACTTCTGGCTGAATCTAAATTGTTAGAGATAAGATAACCAAAGTAATTTGTTGCTTTTGCAGGCCATTGTTTCCCATCGGAAGAGCAAAAAACTTTGACTTCGAGTTTGCTGGGAGATATGGTGGATTAGTCGAATATACGCGATTCCCTCTAGAAAGTGGATATCAATTTGCCGAGGTTGTGAGATTTTCGCTGTACATATAGATTTTCTAGTCAATCGCTATTTTGGAACGATAAACTTTAGATTTAGAGGGGCTGGGCTATATGTGCTTTTACAATATTAGTGTAATATCTACATACCATTATTAAAAAAGGTAGGGGCTAAGCAATTGGATTTGCAAACGATTGAAGATTTCTTCACTTGTGTACATAATTTCAGGTACGAAATCATCTTCTTGAAAACTTTGGGGAATTGTGACAAAGTTATTTTCTTCTTGGGAGGAGGTTGTTCTTGAAGTAGAATCCTTCTTAATACATTACATGTTTTGTATATGTATTGAGATCGGTACACGCACGCGCTAACACACTTTTCATGCACACTGACATTCTTTTTACTCGTGCGGCACATACACGCGCGCACGAGGGTCGATTGCCTTCATTTAACTTGTCCATTATGACGAATCACGTAAGTATATATATCCGAGAAAAATTACCATCAATTAAGAATTGCGATGGTGAACTCAGCTGGACAATGCAACATTCCGAAGGTGAATATGTGTCTATAGAAGACGCCATCGAGAAAAACACCCATATACCTATGTCATTTATGAAATTCGGGATGTCAATTTCGTGAGTCCACCTCTTGGATGCTCGTACGGTAAATGACGAATGATATACGGACACGATCTTTGTTCCCAATCATACAAAAGTGATAGAATTTGGCTCATAGTTTGATTTAGCCAATACATGTAGCATAAATTTGAATTATGGGCTTGGACTTGAAATGCTTGTTAATGGGCCTCAACGATCCAATATGCATAACGCTTAAATTTTAACGTTCACAATTTTACAATTTTACTTAATTAACTCGCGCAAATATCATCAATTCTTCTGTCATTGAGATGCCACATCCGATGAACACCATCAAGTAAATCTCAATTCTTCTATCTTAATTAAAATTCAAATGTAACCACAATCTATGTACACTTCAATTAGAAATTCGAAATCACTATAATAATACTGGCAAGATGACTTTACCTCTCATAATTATTTAGCCTCCAAGACAAAACTAAGTAAGTCAGAACCAAAAATACATTTTATTGTTATTATTATTATTATCCAAGGAAAAATACCATGAATTAAATAATAGCAACTAAAAATGAATATAGCATTAAAATTTCCAAAAAAAAAAGAAAAACTATATAAGAAAAAACCAAAATAAATTGATGAATGAGCTGTAAAAGTAGTGTCATGTACCACACCATTAGAGAGGCCAGCCTAACATATATGTATATGACTGCACTTGAATATTATTTTAATTAATGGGGGCAGTAAGTAAAAACAATAAAGATCCTCTTTTTTCATGTAAGAAAAATAGCTGTCATGAGTTGTTACATAATTTTACAAAAAAAAAAAAAAAGTTAATTAATGCAAATTATTCGATTTTTATTTGGGGACCAATTCCCTTTACCATAATGCCACCTTTTTTTGGGATGTTCAATTTTGCCTAACTTGACTTACCCCACTAAAAAAAAGGAGGAAAATAACATTGCCTAGTTGCCTAACCTCTCCGTTAAAAAAAAAAAATTATAAGATGTTTAAGAGTTTATTAGTTGTTTTAAAGTCTTTGGTAATTTTTTTTGAAAATTATCTTAAAAATTCAAAAAATAAGCTGTTGCAGAGCTTATAAAATCTTTATGACTAAAAATAGTTCACTAGCTCATTATCCAAACATTTTCAAAGTTAATTCTAAAATAAGACGTAACAACTTATCAACTCTTAAAACAACTTATCAGCCATTTCAAATTCTATTTGTTTTTCGTATTGTATAGAGTATAGACTATTAAGTTAAACATTAATAAATAATCTTAGTATACTTTATTAAATTTTAGATTTGCTAAAACCTTGTTGAAATGTTGCTTACATCAACAATAGAAATGATGCAATTAGTTGCAAACAAGGATGTAAATTGGAACGAAACTTCCTAACTCCGTTGCCGACCAAGAGTTTTTCGATTTTTGGGATAATTTTTTTCACTATGAATTCCAGTAATTCGATTCCAGGCTTTTCCCAATAATTGGAATTGGAATATATATTATATAATATGAGATTCTGATTCTAATAGAATTTTAATTTTCGAAAATGATTTCATAAAAAAATACACTTATAATTTCAATATTGGTATGTATCTAATAATATAGTTGATTAAAACCATCAACAAAAATTCGATCATGAAACAAGTTTTCGAATTCCAATTTAAAAAATTCCGATTTTTCATTTTCAAGTTTTTTGAAGGATAAAATGGAAGTAATTAAAAAAAATCTTTTTTTTAATAAAAATGTAACTGTGACCCGATCAGTCCATAATGCAACCAAATTAGTGACCAGTGGAAACAAGTGAGCCTATGTCAATTGACCAGATTCGAATTCCCTTGCCAACAGTCGCTAGATCGAGCTTGTCACAAATAATTAGCTTAGTGTGGTTTACGTCTCTCGTATGATTTGCAATATGTTATACGACTTTTGGATTACAAGCACATAAAATTGTATGGTGAAATTGAGATCAAGAATGCAAAGATGGAAATAAAATCATTGATGAAGTTAATAATAATAATAATAATAATAATAATAATAATAATAATAATAATAATAATAATAATAATAATAATAAAGAATTGATCTTATTGAGTATTATCAATTATGGTTAAAATAGGTAGAAATAAAAAGAGAAAAAAAACATGTCATATTTGGTTGTCAAGTAAACTCTAATCCAAAGAACCAACCTTGTCATCATAAAACGTTTATGTGCAAGTGGTATATATAGAGAGAGAGAGAGACGCAGAGAGAAAGAGAGAGAGAGAGAGAGAGAGAGAGAGATTAGAGAGAGAAAACCCAAGAAGAAGAAGCCAACACAGAGAAAAAGGAGAAGAGGGGTTGTAGAATAAGAAGAAGAAGAAGCCCTAAATCAACAATTTATTGAGCTCTGATTCTCTCGGTTTCTGCCTTCGTTCTATAACACATTGCCAAGATCTTTCTTCGCAATTATTGAAGGTTAGCGTCAATTTTCCCCCCTAATGTATTAATCATTCGTGATTAACTGCGCGTGCCCAAGTTCTTTTGCTACGGTTTTTTAATTTTTTTTTTGTGATTGATTTAATGTTGATTAGAGTTTCAGAAGAAAAAAAAATTGTTGGGATTTTTTTTTTTATTTGATTGAGGTTTTGATAGTAATGGAGGTCTGTGATTTTAGTTGGATATTGGCAATTTGGCATTGTTTAGAGCTGGACTGCAAAATGTTCGAGCTTTAGTCGAGCCGGGCTAATGCCTTTTCGAGCATTTGGTTGTGGATGAATTTCGCATATTCGTATATTAGAAGGGTTATTAATCGTGCACGTGAATTTTAAAAAATAGAATCACAGTTATGAAGTTTTATGGCACTGTTTTTTCCGATTTTAATGTTGATGTGAAACGGGCTGGTCGTTGATTGGTTCTACCAGTATCCGAAAGCTGTAGCATTAGTACTTTGGGATAATGATTTTACGAGGAATTCGAGTCGAAGTATAATGTGAGCTTATATATACATGTTAGTTGTTACCATTTGAGAGTGGTATTCTATATACGGTAGCAACTTTAAAATACGCATTAAATGGTGTAGTGCTGCCGTAAAGGTCGAGTCACAATCATTGAATTGCTATGTAGTAATAGTTGATGAAATAAGAGTTATTTTTTTTTCCTCTCTGCAAAAAGCTTAGAAATGAAATTAACCCCGTTTTCTATCGTATTCTTAATTTAGTAACTTGCAAAATATTTGTGATCATTGTTTATCGAGCAACGATGTATGTTGCGCGATTCTATGTGTACATTTGTATGTGGGGGAGATGAAAGGGTTGTGGGCGAGTGAGATCGATGCACTTAAATGCTGGTGTACGAGAATCTTCGTACGCATGGTTTTTGAAATATATATGAAAATCGGCTAAAAACAAAAAAAAAAAAAAAAGAAAAACCGGTCCCATGGTGCGTTGTCAAAAACCACTAATCCGAGAGCCACGCAGTTTACAGCCTACGGTGCCAGCGATGTGCTAGTAGGTAGAGAGCGTAAAACGGGGACATAAATACAAGAAGAAAGGCATTATAAAAGGGGGGTTTCTGTGGAAGAAGGGAAAAACGAAAAAAAAAAATACTCGGTAAATTCACTTTGTGGACGTCGTCGAGATCTATAGTTTTAATTTTTGAAGGTGAGTAGTCTCGTTTACTTCTATGCCAGTAAATTCTTGATGAATTTCTTGTTTCGTTTTTGAGTTTTTCACGTGTTATGCGAAAATGTGGCCGGAGTAAAAGGGTTGAGTTTATCATATCTCTATGTGAACATTTATGAACTGGTTGAGAAGTGTTATATTGGGGATCTGAATCATTCTTAATTTTGTGAAGTTTTTTACACTCGATATAAGACGAACAAGAATCGTGTGTCTGTGATTATTATTAGATTTTCGTAGTAGTGTTTGATTATTGCTTTAAATGAAGTTAGAACGGTGATTTTCCATTAGATCTGCCCAGGCTCGTTCAGTTTTAGCAATTTGGGCAATCCCGGTCGGTGATTTTTACTCGATAATTTCGGGTTTCGCTTACAAACGGCTAATTTAATGATTTCGGTGCAACTTTTACCTGGATCTATTTTTAATTTTTTTTTAATTATGTTTAGGATTTACGTTTTTGTGAGTTAAATCATAAATGGTGTTCGTGATTAGATGCTGGGTTAAATTTTTCGTATCTTTGTCGAATTACATCATTTCCAATTATTTTTAATTATTAATATATTAAACATCTATTTATTTCGAGACTTTTTTTTCGAGTAATAACCGTGTACATTCACTTCACTCACCTACATTATCTAATCCTCGATGTTAGCGAACCTAATAACTATATAAGCATCACTATACCTCAATTCATTTCGACTTATTTCGTAATATTTCGTAAATAGTGGCACTTCTTTTGTCTATATTTCTTATGTTTGCATGTTTGATTGTAAATTACAGGAACTGGTTTCTTCGGCTTATGGCAAACTCGAAGGGACCATCTAGTACAACCATTCGAAGCATGATGTACAACGGGAAGAACCCTTTACTCCCGCCCAAAAGCCCGTTCCCCACCATTTCCCCTTCCTACGCCGAATTTATTCCCAGCTCACAAAACCCTCCAAAAACAACGTTCCAAAACCCGAGAGACACAATAAATCACCACCAAAGAACTTCCTCCGAGAGTTTCTTGATCGAGGAGCAACCCTCTTGGCTTGACGACCTTCTAGAAGAACCCGAAACACCCGTTCGGATGAGAGGAGGAGGAGGTCATCGTCGATCTTCGAGCGATTCTTTTACGTACGCTGACCTGGCAAATGCAGGGAACTATGTATCCCAAGATGTTAATAGGTACAACAAGAATATGATGTGGGGTCCGCAGGACTTTGATATTTACAGGGAGGCCCGCGAGAGCTCTTTCTATTCGGAGCCGAATCCTTTCGGTAAAATCAAGAATAAGACTGTCGCGCCTCCTCCGCCTCCACGGGGGATTCCTACCCCTAGGGGCAATAACGTAATTCAGAGTGCTCGATCGTTGAGCGCTTTGCAAGATGCGGATAGGAATCATCAACCTCTGTTGGCTGAAAGGAGTCAAGCGCCGCCTGAGAGAAGGGACTTTTCTCATGTCAATTATTCAGAAACCGACAAACGTGCCAAGCAGTATGTCGATTCACTCTTTTTTGTTTTATACACTATGGTCATCGAAAATCCTCGCATGAAATAATGTGTTGATTATTCGTTTGCTTTGCTTTTACACAAAACTCGTAGTCTTTTAAATATAATTTATGACGAGAAGATGAGAAATGTTAACAGAAAATAAATTCTGAAAGAAGCCATTTTTATCGTCTGCCATAATAACAATGGTCAACCGAATATGTTGACTGATTTCGTATGACTGTTTTTTTTTTTTTTTTATCTATAAATATGTGGAAGATGGTAAACCGAATATATTTTGTGTGTAATGCAGGCAATTTGCACAACGATCGCGGGTCCGGAAGCTCCAGTACATATCTGATCTTGAAAGCAGTGTCCAAGCCTTACAGGCAATTAATGATATTATCTTACTCTCATAAAAAATCTACATGGCATTTTATTCGACTCTTGGAACTAAGTCGGTTTTTCTGTAATTTTGCAGTCAGAAAGTACTGAAGTTTCAGCCGAACTCGAATTTCTGAGTCAGCAAACCATGATCCTAAGCATGGAGAACAAGGCGCTGAAGCAACGTTTGGAATCTCTAGCTCAAGAGCAGCTTATCAAGTATTGTAAGTAACAAAACATTTTTCCGCTCGTCGTTTTCTTTTTTTCTTCTGAAAATTGATCGATTATTTGCAATTAAAAAAAAACCCGAATATTTTTGCGCAGTGGAGCACGAAGTGCTGGACAGAGAATTAAGTAGACTGAGGAACTTGTACCAACAGCAGCAGCAGCCGCCGCCAATAATAATGCCGTCTAGCCATAGACGCTCCAAAAGCCGAGATTTTCTCGATCAACAATTTGCTAATCTCTCTCTAAAACAACCCAAAGAAGCCGCCGCTGCCACTAATGCTGCTGTTCGTGAGAACTCTCACGTGTCGGGCCAACTTCACATGTAAGAGTTAAAATCTTACTTAGCTTGATCTTTTTACCGAAATGCCCCTATCCCGAAATAGCAGTTAGCTATTGTTTTGGGTGAAATAAGCCGGACCTGCCCTTTTTCGTCCTATGCTATAGCTTCACTCGTTTTTTTTTTCTTAATTGTTGTTGTCGTTTGTCAGTGACCGATGAATTTTAAATCTGCTGAGTTTTCTTTAGTACCGTGTGCGCCTGGTGGCATGTGCCGTAAAATTTGCTAGTAGTTTTTGGCAGTGACTCACCCGAGGTGGTTTTATCTTTAAACTTTAATGATCTCAGCTAGTGTTCTTTGTTTTGTTCAAGTCTTTTTTCAATTATATTATTTCGTTTTACGGTTTTACCGTTTTCGTTATCTCTGTAGTTCTTCGTATAGCTTTTGATTCTTCTAAATAATTCAGTCGAAATTTGTGCTGATTAACATAAATGAAGTCGTATAAAATACGAACAACTCCTGAGAAATATTTATTTATTACTTCATTCGCTGCTTCTGTCTACCACCTTCATATGATATAAGGGTGTATTAAGCTCGAGCTCGTGTCGAGCCTGAGCTCATCGATTTTTTTAATTAAAAATAGAAATGAAAAGTTCACTGGCCATTTATGAGTTTTCGTTTGAGTTTACGACGAACAGTTACGTCAAAGGGGTAAATATTCACAAATTAAAGTAGAAATTTCGTAATTTAGGTATTATTTCGGTTAGTTGTTTATAATTTACCCTCAATTTATAAATTGAACGAACATCGTATTTTTTATTCATTAAAACATTCATTGTATTTTTTATTCATTAGTTTAGCTTGCAGATAAATTGTCAAAAACACAACAGAAAACTATTCATGTAATATAATGTTTAAACTTTATTATCAAAATATGATTGTAACAAGAAACATAAGTACACAGTTCCTTATTTTCAATTAATCCTTTGAATACAAATCAATAAATAATAATAATCTCATTATCCATTTAAAAAAATTGAAAAATCATCCGCTACGTAATATTTTGCTCGAAAACGTTCAAGACAACACATTCATCAACATTAACGACACCAAAAGAACCAAAGAAGACGAGAAAAAAGTTGTCTGCGCATTAAAATGCGCTTTATTTGGTGACCTCGGATAATCATCCGGTTGAGGCATCACACATTCATCACCGTTAAACGAGATCTTCCTAGGAAAACCCCATCCTCCGTTAAAACTGAATTTCGTCCCGCTGTCTTTCTGCATCAGTAATTCTGACTGCACATTCCCATTCTCCCCCGATTGCAAAAGCATGTCGTTGTAGTACTTAATCCCATAGAAAACCCCCGTGTCATCTACAACAACAAACATTTCACTTTTAAGCCGAATGCAAGAAAAAAAAAAAAACGGGACGAGAAGTAATTTATACTTACTTATGTTGCCATAAATGTTGAGAGGCTTATAGTTGAAACTGAAGACTTGGGTTATGTTATCGAGATTAGGGTGTAAGACGACCAGGTCCCACTGGCTGTAGTTCCTCGCGTGATTTAGATTCGTCACCGTGATTTTGACTCTCCAGTACTGTGTGTAGCTCTGCTTTACGTGCCAGTGGACTTTTATCGGGCACATGTGGCTACTACAATCCACCACGGGCTTTGGTACTCCGTTATGTCCTAGATGAAGTACAGGTGGCGATTCTCCGGGCCTGTAGAATTTTTTGGAGCAAGAATTGAGTTTTTCAGTCGAAAAAGAAAAAGAAAATGAGGTACATTATTAATATTAGGTTGATATCAAGAAAAATCAAGAAAATGTAACGTAAGGGTAAAATTGTCATTTACCAATTTCGGTCGGTTTTATGAAATTGGAACAAACCATAGAGAGGAAGTTTAGGTAAATAAAATTTATCTAAAAGGTTAATGAGCTTTAATTTGACCACCTAACATGCTCACATATGAAATTAACTCGTTTTTTTATGGTCGATTCGTTTAAACTTATAATAACTTGCACGAATCATAGTTACATGCGTAGAGAGGTCGATTCCAAAGGAGTTTCATTTTTATTTTGAATAAATTTAAGAATTAAACGACACAAAGGGAAAGAACATGGCACATGAGTTCAATTTCGAAGCAAAATTATCACTCGTCACGCTACATTTGTTTGAAAATTTCACTTCATATACTACATTTAAAATGATTGTGAGAAGATCGACTTACTTTACGCATTTGGCCCCGGTTTGTCCTTGGCAAGCACAACTACATTTCGGGCAGTCAACAATTGTGCTATTGTAAAAAGCGGACAAAGAAACACAACACGTTGGAACCGACGAAGCCTTGTACTGCGAATACGAGCATGTCACATTCCACGTCGCTACACAAAAAAAAAAAAAAAGAGGAGACACAATTTTTACTTCAAGATTATCCCAACATGCAAAAATAAAAATTAAAAAGAAAATTAAAAATTGTTTTTTTACCAAATGCTTGTGTACTTCTACGACCATGGTCTTCGGGAAACTTAGTCGGTGGGACCCTAAAAGGGTCTCCACAAGTATATCCCGGGACTCCGAGGGTGAAATTTGTCGGCAAAGAAATGTTCAAATTAGTATCGGCGCTTCCAATATTCATCTGAAAAGCCGAGATGTAATTGACAGAATCTTGCAGCATGGATGAGAGAATTCCGCTTCTGCAACAATTGGAGACTTGTTTGTTAAACGGGGCGTTAGGCAAAAGGTCGATTATTACGGGCTTCTTTTCGCAACAATGTGGGAGACTGCCTCCTGTGAATTTAGAACAATCTCCTTGTTCGGTTGTCTCTGCACCGGTTATAGACCATATAACCTCTTCGTTTCGCCACGTCCAGCTTAGTTTCCAACCGGGAAAATCTATGTGGCGGAATAGTTGGTAGTTTACTATCGATAACCGTACCTGTAATAGAACAACAATTTTGATATACTCACAACTTAACTTAGAAACAAGTAAAAATAACATTAGCATATTGTCAATAGAGTGAAGAACAAGACTTTTAAGACCTTTTTATTGCAATTAGTACCCCTTGTGTTATATAGAATTGCGAAAAAACTACCGTATGTTTTTTTTATTGGCAAAAACCCCCATGTGATTTTTTTTAGCAACTAGTACCCCTGCTTAAGGGGTTGTGTGCTAAAAAAAATTGAATCGTAGGGGGATTTTTGCCAAGAAAAATAACATGGGGCGGTTTTTTAGCAATTTGATATAAAAGGGGGTACTAATTGCAATAAACCTCATTTTCACATGCACAAATTGTGTCCTAATTTTTTTTATTTGAAGGATCCATTTGAAAACCTACAAAATGTGGCTATAATTCAGCTGCCATATGAACACAACTTAAAATCACTGAAAAAAAAACCCTATTCAAATTCAGTAGACAAGAATCGACACGCGGATAATTACGCCTAGCAACACAAAATTACGAGTCGTCCGAAATGTTTTTTTTTTCTTTCTTTTCGCACTCGTTTTCCCTTTATTATATACACAACATCAAATGAAAGGTGATGTTAATTATAACTAAATGATCATATACAATTAATCTTCTTTTTGGTACTTAAAAATTCATATATATATATATATATATATATATATATATATATATATATATATATATATATATATATATATATATGTATATGTATATCAAATCGTACAAATTTGTATTCGATTCGATATGTACATATATATAGATATAGATATACTTACATCGTGATGAGCGTCGGCTGGTTTTTGCAAGACATCCCATCGGATTGTGATGTTTCCATTAGGATCCAAAGGATCATAGCCACCTGCATTACAACTGAATTCTTCTTCATCAGAACTTCTAAATAAACCAATAAAAAAAATTAATTAATTTCTTTAATTTATTTTTGTGCTAAAAAAGAAAAAAAAAAACAGAAAAAGAAGGCTATGCTCACATGCCGGTGATACAAAAAGGGTGCTGCCCAATAGCATCACAATCGTCAACGACGAAATCAGATCCATTCTTGGAAAATCCTTTGATTGGCTGACGACGAAATTAAAAAAAAAAAATTAAAAATTATTTGGTTTGATTTTCTTTATATGTGAATGACAAACATAAACCCTTCACAGTTCATGCATTTCTGTATGTATATATATAAAATATGTGTGTGTGTGTGTGTGTGTAGACAGGTATATAAAATGAAAGCAAGTTTTGAAACAATGTTTATGTTTAGTGAATATCTGAGAAAAATGAAATATGGAAAATCAGAGAAAAAGATTTTGGGAAATGGAAAATGAAAAAAGAATGCAATAAATGTGTTTACCAAAAACTAAGGGCGGTTTAGCATTTCGTGGGGGTGCCGTTTTGATTACTTTTAATGCATTTTTCCCATTTCTTCAAACTCTTTTATTATTTTTACTATCTCCTTTTTTGAATTTTTTTTTTCAAATTAATTATCTCAATATTATCTGTCATTTTTTTTTTTTAGTAATTATCTGTCTTTTAAAAAGACTTAATTATTCTTCTACATATATATTTGCCCTTATTAGTCAAAACTCTCACAAGTAGAGAGAGAGTAATTAATAAATAAATAAAATAAAATGTTAAGTATATTTAATCTTTTACTATTACATATTTTTTTCTTCCCTAAATCAATACATATTTGTTATTTTTTCTTAGTACATGTTTCGAAACTTAAAATCGTAATTATTTTAAAATGAAGGATTTTTTTTTTTTTTTGCTTTTTTGCATTATATTAAATGCTACACATAAATCATCATAATTCATAATCCTTTCTAATTTTGTGTTTGACTTGTTCTCTCTCCATTTCATACCAAATGTGGTTAAGGTTGTTGCACACTGATTAACATTTTTTTTTAATATTCCCTCCGTCCCAATTTAAATTTCGTTTTGGGTTGTTTTGCACATATTAAGAAATTCAATAAATGTGCATAGATTATAGTAAAAGAACATATAAAATTGAGTAAAAAGCAGTTTACCCCCTAAACAAATGCCCGTTTTGCACTTTGCCCCCCAAACAAAAAAAATTTGCACGTTCTTACCTAAACTCCGGTTTTTGTTGCACGGTGCCTCAAAATTGGAATATTCAGGCCATTTTGACCGGAATCTTCCACACGTGCTTTTCACGTGAGTTTTAAAGGGGCAAAAGAGTCTATTCACTTACCTTCTTCATAAAAAAAGAAACAAAAAAAAAAAAAAAAAGAAAAAACAAAGAAAAAGAAGAAAGAAAAAGAAGGGTTGTGATCCGCCATTTCTACCCTCAAATCGGACATTTCGGAACCGACTTCTTCTTCATCTTCATCTAGATAAACCACGGCGGCACCGACGAGATCCCCTCTACCCTCATAATCGATTTCGTGGTGAATTTGAATATAACAACAACAACATAAATTTACGGTGGAATGGGTTTCTCTGAAGAATTGCAGAGTATTTGCAGAATTGTGAACAAGAATCATTTCGATAGAATATGCAATCTTCTCGAGGAACCTGGTGTCGCAGCTTCCATTGTCTACGGTGGTTCACTCGACCGAGAAAATTTGTTAGTACCCTTTTAATTTCTTATTTATTTATTTAAATTTATGTTTTCGGAGAATTAAAATATTCGACAATTACAGGATGATTGAGCCCACAATTTTATTGGATCCTCCACTAGATGCTCAGATTATGACTGAAGAAATATTCGGGCCTTTGCTACCAATCATCACAGTAAGTACCCAATTCATCAATATTTGTACTTTTTTATTGAAATAAATTATATGTCGTCTCTGATTTATCAACGTCTCGTATTGCAGTTCGATATAATTGAAGAAAGCATCTGGTGTCCTCCGGGAAGA